AGGCATAGATGCACATGACAACCAAGATATAGTTCATTAATAAGAGTTTTTTTGTTATACAATGTGCGTTAATAACGTGGTTTATAAAATCAAGGAGTGTAGGTAAACCAAATACAACCTATATTTTCTAGATTTGAAAGTTCAAGACGTGTACAATGTCACAATATAGAGTAGTTTATGAGAATTTTATGAAGGGGTTTCGTACACAATTGATAGTAAATTGCGTAGTATTGGGTGACTGGACAACACGGCATATAAATGACTCTAGCTACATTACGGGTGTTGACTACATGTTTTCCTTATTAAAATCTAGAACAGATTGTCTATTGACGTAAAATATTGTAGATAAATATAAAGATACATTTGACTGCGATTTGTCTAGCACCTGGGTGAAGAGTAGGATAAATAGTACATATATATATTTACCATGATTGTCTGACAGGGTAAGTTTTAGTCATCGCCAGATAACAACAAAATCAGTCAATTGTCGAGTAAACATTTTGCAAGAATAGCATTTAGCGGGAAGTAATTTGTACGAATGCAGTTCCGACTATGGAACTATGGATTAAGTTTCAGAATTTCGAATCGAAGCGATGCTGTTATGCTGTAATGATGTGTTATACTAAATAGAATCAGATTCGGAAATATTCGAATCTGAACATTCTGATTCGGAAAAAAAAAATTGAAACTTACATCCCTAGTTCACACAAATGAAGTTTTGGGCAGACGTGCGAATGTAGATGTGCTACAAAGTATGTTAGCGAAGATGCAGTTTTGCGAGAACATCAACGTTTCATGAGAATGTCCACCGTTCGCGCTAAGCTACATTATTGCGAGATCCAAATATGGCAAATAGAATTTCCACAAACAATAAACAGCAAAAAATTAAAAATAATTCTGCAGATATGCTTCAAAATAATATACAGATATCCAGCCAAACCTCGTTGATCAGCAAGATAATCCAACATTTTATTGATCTATCATTGTTTAGTGAGCCTGTCTCCGTTACCTATTAGTTTTATACTTTAATTTGCATTGCTGTGTTTCATTGCGGTTAAAACAAACGTCGATTTTCTGCATTAATATTTAAGTAGCCCATTGCCATCTTCCGTGAATAAATAAATAACCGTTTACGACCTTAGTAGATTTGCAAACTGAAATTTGCAAATTCAATCTTTACCCTGGTGGCAGATTTTCTAATCATAGTCAACATAGCATATGGCTTTGCAATAATGTTTGCATTTCTGTGAATCGTACTGACCTTGTCTGAATTTGAATAAATGAATAAAAATCAAGCTATCTCATTCTGAAATATTTTACATTGTACTTTTCAGCGGTGACGAACAATTGAAAATCAAATTGGAAGCCAATTGTTCCTCTCGGCAATAGTCTGGTCAGAAAATTTCTCAAAAAAAAGGAAATATATATCATGGAAAAAATGTAATCTACGTAGTTTAAAATTTTGTCAAGGTCAAAAGTATATTTACTTCTTCGTTTTGTGAAAATTATAATATGTTTCTCGAAGAGTTAGTCGAAGTGGAACAGAGGACAATATAATAGGATTGATTGATTTGCTGTTTCTTGATATTGTTTAATTATTTAAATATATCGCCCTTCCAAAACAAGTTTGATATATATAGCATAAAGATTATATCACACAGTATTTTAGTCATACCGTTATAAAATCCCTTTGTCTAGCTCTTGATTTTATCTCATTTTCAATAGATTTATTTTCCCAAGGATGGCAGTTCTCACTAATTTGATAACTCAGGAATTCTGCGACTACTCCTTAATCAATTAACATAGTGTCCATTTTGAAATTTAAAAAAGCAATTGTAGTATCATAGTAAAAAGTCGCTTATCAAGGTTTTTATATAATATAACTATGTTACATAATCTCATTTGATATTTTCTCGTATCGATTGTTGCATTATGACCAAAATTATTGTAGTATTCTTCTATAGTAAAAAGTCGCTTATCAAGGTTTTTATATAAAATAATTATGTTACATAATCCTCATTTGATATTTTCTCATGTCGATTGTTGCATTATGGCCAAAACTATCCCTTGGGATTTCATATGCGTCCTTCAAACGGGGAATGCGATAGTAAGTGAGTATGTGGTTTCAGTTTGAGACGATTTAAAAAGATCAAGTCGTCGATATTTGACATGAGATTGGATTTTAAAAAATCACTTGCCAGAATTTCAGCCGAAAAGCAATCTCGCATTTGGCACAAGTCTCTACTATTCAAATTAAGGATAACAATTGAAAGGAGTAACGATGGAAATACCATATATATTGCTACTTTTTCGAGTAATTAACGATGTTTATTTTAAATAAGCGAGGGGAGTTATTACACTGACAGTCGATTTAGCTTGGGAACTCATGCCAATTCTCGTTGAAAACCATAAAACAATTAACTTTGCTAATTAAAAATGAATTCAGTTTAAAAACTTGAAATATTTTCGACCGCAATGTTTGTGATTTTGATTTCGACTACCTAACTGTAAACTTGGGAATAGCCAAGCTGAAATTTGGCATTCCTGCATATCTGGCGAGAGTTTCCGACCTTTGCTTCACATAAACATCCATTGTTGTCATCTTCGCGTACTGTCAGGCGTAAAAGCTCACTTGAAGTGGCTATAAAATATTAATGCATAACTTCAACAATATTGTAACAGTTAGTTTAGTTATAACTAATTCAAAAGGCAGGTACTTCGTAAATACATTATGCGCTTATATAAAGATTTATAGTCTTGCATACCGTATGATAATAGTCATGGTTGTACATGCGAAATGATAGAAATTACGGATACGCTTAATAAGGTGTCTGCATGTGAGCCCTGGTCCGTGTAACCTGCAAATATTTCATAAAGCAGTACATTGAGTATTTGGACAGACATGTCTAATTTTCATTCATGCAAAGTCAATCAATAGAAGTAATCAGCAAGTTAATTAACAATCAGTAGTTTTTGTTTACTAACATTCATCTGAGGCATTGCGGCAGTGCGATACCGATATTTTACAAGCCGAGGTAAAACCTTTAAACATCAGGATAAGCCGGTGTTGTGCAGTGGAACGACGGAGAATTAACTAGAGGTCGATAGTCGGTATCTCTCTTAGGTTTATCTGTAATTCATAAGTATAATTTTATTGTGCTTTATAGCTACAACGGGAAAAATCTATACAGATAAAGGTTTGATTACCATGAAGAAAAGCGCTTTACTTACAGATCTAGCGTGGAGTCCCAAAACAGATATAGGTACATTAGTCATATATTGTTGCAGTACAGGGTTTACCAATCTTCCGTTCATCGTTACCTTTTGGACATTTTATAGATCGCTTATGTGCCCCCAAAATTGTCTTGCATGATTTGATTGGACAAATTAAGTTGTGTAAATTGCGAGAGTAAACTCGGTATTTGCTGTAGTTGTAGCTAAGGTGAAAATATGACTTTTCGAGGAGTTCTTAAAATTATTACCAACTGAGGAGAAAAATATTTTAGCACAGATAAGAAGTTATAAAAAGAATATCCTTATACTTAATCTAATGTACTCCTTGGAAAGTCTAAATATATCCCTAGGGTACTCTAGTTTGGAAACCCCTGTTCCCCGTAGCATCTACTGAAAATGATAAGTCAGACCGATGCACGGCATGATACGGCCTATTATTATACTAAATCGAAGAGCGCGTAAATTAACGCCAATTGAATAAAATTGAACTAAATAAGTTAACGCTTTTTAGCTGAAACGGAATGTATTGAACCAAAGCTCAAATTTCGGGCGATAAACGCAAAATATTCTGAGTCTACTTTTTACAAAATAACCATTTTACATGGAAAATTCTTGAATAGGAAACCCCGTAGATACAATTCACTAGCATAGTCAAATCTACCCCCAACATACTGTGTGAATGTTTATACATCTTCATGTTACAAGTAGTACTTATGTTTGTTTTCATTAATTTGTTGATATGATATCACGGACACGTCTTAATAATAACATCAATGACATGCCACTTGTTCAAATAGACATGGGTCGTTCCATTCACCGTATAATTTCCCTGGGGGGTTTTGCCTGATCCACGAGCATGAAGTGTTTCGTTGTAGCCTTGACACCTTGAAAAACTCATTACTTTATTTTAATATTGTGGGTATGAATGCTACGGGAACGTTAGGGTATATATAAAACACAAGCGACTAGTGTGTGGATGTATCAATTCTGATGTTAGGGTTGCTATATTGTTCTACAGAAATTAGGATATGTCTCCGTGATATCTGCTTTTCGAAGTCTATATGTATTGACAATTAAAATATATCTTATGATTTAAAATGGTATCCCTACTGTCCTGCGGTAATTTTCGATTAGTTATGTTGCGCTTTTTGGTAAATTAGCCTACTTCTGCCTAAAATGAGATAAATCGCATGTAATTCGGGTTTGTATATGAGTTATTCGTGAAGAAGGAAGAATTGTTACAGTTTGTGAATTGCAATCACCGTGGAATTTTTTTATTCAGTGTTTTATTGTTCATTGTGTTTTATTTTTTATTATTTGCATTAATTATTATAATTATCTCAAAACACGTAATAGTTGAAATTTATATATCTCGCGAATTTATATATTCATAAAAGCGTCATAAAACCCTGCCACCCCTCCCCCAGTTTAAAGTTTAAGCTATTCCAATGGAAAGTGTTACGTTATTACGCAATACAATCAGGACGATTCACGAGATTCCTAAACGTTATGTGATGATCCTGTTTCAAATGCATTATTATTGGATTACCGAATTATATTGGTAAACTAAATCGATAGCAGGTATCAATTTTTGTATAAAATCCCATAAGTCAATGTCGATTACTCTCTTTATCGACAAGACGCGGTATCGGAGTCAGCTGTTCCAAATTCATTATAGATAAGTAGTATATAAATAAAAACAAATTTACAGGTGAAATTTTGTTGCTACGTACGCCACTGCATTTTTTGTATATATATCAAGCAATTTACTAATTGATGATATAATTATTAAGTATGTCACTCAACGGAATAAATCAGTCTAATTATTAGGATATTGGAATAAAAATAAAAGACATCGGGATATACTTGGAAATCTGAACGTTGTTGGACTATTCAAGAACCATAATATTACATGTACTATCTATCTATAAAATGGCTTATTGTACCGTTGAAACAAGCGTGGTGGAGACAAAGGTATCAATATCATGTGCAGCCTCTCCAAAGTCTACTCCGAGTGTCCGTGGTTCAAGTAAGTGATTGCCTAGTAATTTAGAATAATATATATGTGGCGCTCCAGAAGTGTTGTGTACCAATATGAAGGTAACTCATTTTGTTCGTCTACTTTAATCAGATTGTGTAAAGGGACTGAAACCCATATGCAAGGGGTGTATTTACTTACTTACGGCTAATATAGTCCCCGAAATCGTAATAGAACTAAAATAAGGAAAATCGGAATAAAATTATGGCCTAACCCTAACCTACTACATAAAATCTACGGGAGTACCCAATATGGTTATTTGAAATATACTTCATAGAAAACTTCTATGAGACAATATATCTGTTTCAAAATTGTGGCCTGTACTCTGAAATATATGCTCGGTTTTTTACAACTATATTATCAGCTATGAAAGTTGTTCGTGGCTCTATTCTTGGGTGATATAACTTTTCTAATTAATCCCAATTTAGATCACAATTTAGGTCGGGCCTCTTCTTCGATGGAAAAGAGACAAATTGCCAAAGAGCCCAGAGCACTACTTCAATTAGACTACGTTAAAAATGAACACGTCATTGCTGCAACAGGTTAATTTGTTTGTATTATAAGATAGCAATTTCACATTTCTTTCGAGGTGAGAGAAAGTCGTCTTTTAAAAGCAACATAAAAACAAAACAAATATTCGGTTACCAGCCAATGTGTTCCAACGTGAATTTAAATACCAAATGGTCTGAGTCACTTCTGTATTAACAGATCACGTCCCACAGTCTACCGTTCCCCATAATAAAAACTTCCCACTTTTGCTGTGCACGAGATCCGCCGGCGTTCGCTGAGCACGAGATCCGTTTATATGTGTTCGCGCAACTGCCACAAAGTGCGCACATTTTGGTGACGCCACAGCACACAAAAAACGGATCTCATGGAACTCACAGAAATATTTGAAATAAATAAAAGTAATAGCCTTCTAGCGAAAAATTCGATCTTTAACTACTGAATATTTCAAAGCAATTGGTCCAGTAATCAGGGAGAAAAGCGATCTTTTATAACGATAAATTCTATGACAAAGAACAAGACGACAACAACATAATAACCAAATGATCCATGGTTTTCGCAAATAAAAACGTTTGCATTGAGGAAATGTTGTATTCATAGGTTTGTAAAGTTAGAATAGACTAGTTAAGAGGCTTTTTGTTATATACACGTTGATCTTGATAGTGACCCTAACCGATTATCTTCACGTCAACCCCTCACCATATTCGTCCCCGCGAAAATCGAATCAACCATCCCATGCATAAATATTGAGCAACAATGTCAAACAAGGTAATGATTCCGTAATCGGTTAGTTAGAAAATTGGCCGTGTGTAGCAATGTCGTTTATTCAATGTGATTCTATAGGGAGCTCCTGTCATTCCGGTCTTGGGAATTAGTGAAAAAAATCTCAGTCTTCAGTTGACCAAAGCAATTTATATCATACGAGACCGCTGTCTTGATCACCCCACCCTTGTTAACTAACTTTTCAACGCTGCTTGTGCCTAATTAGAGCTTCGGTGTGGTTGGGGACTTTTTTACCCCTGTGAACCAAACCGAGCCGTCTTCTGAACGCCAGCTGCTTCAATTCGATTGGGGTTTAAACAAGTTCATTATGATGACAATGCCCAATAGCCTTATTTTGGTCGAACTAAGCTCAGTTTTCCTATATATGTAAGTTGTTAAATGTGAAAACTTGCTGGTGAAAATTTGTAACAAACTAATATATATATACATAAAGGACATGTTGCATAAATAGCTTGTATGCGAATGGTTTACGTAATCTCGTATCATTAGCACAAAGTCAATGCTATCTAATCAATTCCAAGTATACAATATTCCTGGAAAATTGATCCTGTGATGAAATAAAAATAAATTTATTTTTCGCTTTTGTTGAAATAGAATTTCATGATATTAGTCTTTTCCAAATTCAATAGGTATTGGTGGTGGGCTGCATCACAATAATATACTTGGAGTACAATACGAATTGTTTTTAATAACGTTCCACATGTTCAGGAAGTTTTCTTTATACTTCAGCTGCGCCATCGTAACAGGTTCGGATATCCCACGCAATACAGCAATTTTTTGTAAAAGCTAGGTTTTAAGCGAAGTTAGTGAATTTAAATTCGTCTTTGAATTTTTCCTGCACTGTGCCATGGCTTCTTTGTGAACCAATCGTCTATTTTTGTCTAATCGCGTTGAAGTTAAGACCTTTCATCAATATTGATGCATAATAGATGTGAACTGGCATGATGTTTTCATTTGTCCGTTACCTTTGACCTATTGCATAACTTTTAAAATTGGCGTTAATTTCGACCAAAACTAATACCGTTGATGATGAAATATTTTGCTTTCAGGGGAAGAGTGCGTACAGCGTATGAAATCTGGTGAAGAATTTATTAAAATAAAAAAGGGATCTAAGGCCAACTCAAAAACATTCACTCTTGATGAAAAATTGAATTTTTTGTGGTGTAAGCCAACAAAAAGAAAAGAAAAAGCCTTCCGTAAGTTCATTGAAAATTTCATCAGGAGCATGATTGTCATTCCTCTAATGAATTACATCAATCCCTAGCTATTCCTGGTTCCCCAATACCATGTAATTTAGTTTGAAACGAAGATGTCGCCGTGGACTGCATTCTTTTAATGATTAGACGATAAATGAACAGCAATTTTTTCTTAAGCTCCCTTCTAATAGACCATGGTGCTATCGTAAAAAGTTGATTCAATTTGAATAATATCCAGTGCTTAGGTTAATTCATCTAAATGATGGAGCTAAAGTTAAAATACCCATTGACAAACCAACCACAACTAAATACTATTTTTGCCTTCTCCCTAGCGAGTCAAAACAATTATATAACGAAAATATCAGAATCGACAGATGCCCAAAACACTGAAAATTACTCTTTCCCTCATTTACCCGTTCCCAAATTGGTTGGTAAATTAGTTCCAATATTTCACAAAAATAATTTATTACAAAATATTGATTAAATGACCGGAAAAATCGTTATACTTTTGGATGCCACATTTATAATTACAAAAGTCATCTATAACCATATATATAGGATAGAAAATGCTTAACGATTGTGCTCGGAAAGGATATTTTAAAACATAAATTCGAATTCAATTTGTTAATAAGTATTTATTTACAAGGGGCTGACATATCTCAAATGAGAGTTCCCCCTCGAATTATGAAAAATTCGAGTCAAAATAAGTTTCATCAAGTTCGTCTTGTCAATAAGACTTTTTCATAATAATTGACTCCAGCACAGTCACAACTGTCCGAATCGGTTCTCCTAAAATAGCACTCTACTTATAAACATTATTCATTGACGTCAGAGGGATGACGTCAGCAAATTTGAATATCCCTTCAACAATATATAAGTCTGTGCATCATACCGCTGTTTAGTTTAATTTTTCAATTTTTCCTCTTTGCAGTTGATGTCAACACCATAATAGAAATTCTACATCCAGCACCAACAGAACAATGGACCAAACTACCGAAGGAACATAATCCAGAATGCTGTGTTACCATTGTATTTGGTGCCAAGGTGAGTGTATCACTTAGGAAAGTTAGGTGAAATCGAGCCTCGTCTTGCAATGCAAGTTAGGTATCATCTTGTCTAATACGCTTTTGGGGTATGCTTATGGGTATAGAAGTGATTTAATTTAGCAATAGCCATATTGTGACTTTTGCGCCACAATCCTTCAGTAAGTTACGTAAAAAGCAGCCGTGTGTGGGAATGTCGTTATCTATGCACCGTTTATGCATGCGGAAAATACAAATTCCAGGCATGGTTACAAGTAATTAGATGGGGTGGGTGCTATTTGAATGGCGTCATTTGCAAAGCTTATTGGGTTTTCTATGCCGTTAAAAAGTTTGATATTCATGGCCTTACACACAAGGTATATTATATATACTTTTAATGCAATACACACGAGAGACAACAGTGTAGTAGGCAATAAAATGCATAATTAAAGATATCCCTAGGCTACTCTAGCGGAAAATTGCGGGCTCGTATCTGGATATATTGCCCTGGCATTTGCAAATCTAAATGCAGACAATATCTATGATTTTAATGCGTTAAAAGTATTTTAGATAATATTCATGATATTTTATCATGTGAGAAGTAGTTCTGACAAAACTTTGTTACAAAGAGCAGATGCGGTCTTAAACTGAAACGGGTTATGTGCTAAAAGGGGTTGGATAAAGTTTTCCTGATCTAAAGGCAATGAGACGTTTCTGATAGTTTTTAAGTAAATAAATACAAATTCAATTATTATTTAGCTAAACACATCTGACACTAATTACTTCATAAGACTCTTGAATTATACATAGAAGGGCAGGACTTCGTCAGTAAAAGGGAAAATATTTATACATCGTACAAATTTTCACGTACAGATGACATTGAATACAGACAGAACTGTGTTACGTCGTCATCGGAAGTTGTGTTACGTCAATTCTCAGTTGCTTTATGTTACCTTGCAGTGAGTCGCATATTTACGCTGGTTGAATTACGTGAGATTTTAGCAGCTAGGCACACAATTTCCCTTTCTAAAAATTATTATATTGAAAACGTTTCATGTGCATTGGAGTAGGTAGTTCACAGGGAAAGCGCGTGACTCAATTTCAACTCAATGACCAGATCCTATTGTCGCCACTAAGATGAGATATAGTGAGTGTTGATAAGACCCTTATGGTCTGATACAGTTTATCAAATCCGATTTCCTGCACCCTGTGTGAGGAGGTGTATTCCGATGTATTCCGATTGAACGAACACGAAGATGAGATCTTAGCAGGCCAACTATATTAAACGCCCTTGTGCAGAAGATATTTCTGCATTTATTTTACTAATGAAAATCAATATGAATCACTAGGTACTCCCGTAGTGTGTGTACCAAGTTAGGGTTAGGGCATCATTGTATTCCGGTTTTCCCTATTTTAGTTCCATTTCGAGTTCGAGGACTGTCTGTGTTAGCCAAGTGAATATGCAACCCCTTGCCCATAGATTTCAGTCCCTTTTCACAACATGATGTAAAGTAGGCAAACAAAATTAGTTACCACCATATTGGTACATACACTTCTGGAGAGATAATTATTAGTCGTAACCAATTAATTTGTCAGTATACGAAATTTACTCATGTTTGTAAAACATTGCCTTATGTTAAACTTAGTCTAACGTTTTAAATTTAACTTTTCATTCAAGTACCCACTGCTGATACAAGAATCGATAATACAATACTCCTATAGTTTCGTATTAACAAATATTGACTACTGATTTGGCGTGATTGACGTTTCAATCATAATAATAATCAGCTGATACATTGTCAGATTGATGTAATTCCAGCACCAACTACCCTGCGGGATATGTCCTATTTTATATGATTCACGCACCGTCAATCACGTATGTTTTAGTGCCTTGTTAATCATACAACATCGTCCGTGATTTCAATGACATAATGTTAACAATTCTGGCAGACTGATAACCAAGGTTCCCTCTAAGCTGCCCAATTGCGCAGACCAGAACATTTGGCAGTAAAATCTCATCATCGCGCAGTTGCAACATTTCGTTTTTGAAGCGTGGCTCATATTTTCATATGTCATTTTATTAACGCTTAACTAAAATGCTCATTCTGTGTTTCACGCGTATTTTGGTGACCACTGGTTATTGTGATGTCACACATTTTTCTATCACGCCCAAGTACCTTGATTTCTCTATGCCGTAGTTATTGTTATATTCTGTTATTGTCCGTAGTGAAGTTAACACAGATGAAGATATAATTTTAATAGGTATCAAATGTGCCCACTGTTTGTTACAGGAAATTTGCTCGAATCTCGAGATTGGGACACATGAGCTTATACTGAATGATACCGACTTATACTAAATGAGACCGAATGAATACATATTAATAATGTTTCACCATGAATCACCAGAAATTACTAAATAGCATCCTTGCATTATGTGAATACGGACAGATTCACCCGCACAAAAGCATAGGAGGAGAAGTAGTTAGTGCCGCAGAAACCAAATTATGAATCACAAGTCAATGGATTGAGAAATATTTTAACCAATATACTCGGGTTCTTTATCTGGCGTGTGAGTAAAATGTATATTCAAGGAAGCAAGGCTAAAAATATGAAAATTCATTTTAAAGTGGGATGGATAAATACAACAGTGGAGTGTTTGAAACTAATTTGCAATCGTGATACCGGTATGAATAAGCTGAAAAAACAAACTGCTAAACTTCGTTAAATTTATTGCTATTCCGCGTCAAGGTATGTGATGACCAGCAAAGTTTGTCGAGAAGTGGCACCTGATAGTGATTTGAAAAAGGCGAATGGTGGGTGGAAATGGGGAGTTGACTATCTAAAACGCCTTTTAAGTCATAAAAGCACATTGACGCACTAGGTGCATTAACTCAGAAGCGAAACGTGGGTGCAAGAGAACGTTGTTCGAACTTTTTCACCGAAATAGCGACCGTTGAAGAAGTTTTGAAAACCCCGTCAAGTAAAAAATAAAGCCTCACAAAGATAGTATTACACCATGTGTTAAGCTGAATTCATCAATATTGTCCCGCAAAGTATTAAATAGTCGTATGTCAAAATACATTGAATTGCCACATGCATGGTGAAGCATAAATTACGGCTTTGAATTTTTGAAGAGCATAGTCTTTGTCGCCAAGGAAGAAATCATGCAGAGCATGACACAAGCAAAATGTCATACACTGATTTTGATGGTAGCAATGATATTTCTACAACAAAAATGTTGAGATTGTACAGGAGAAGCTATTTGTGTTAAACGTGAGACTTGTTCGCATTTCGATAGTATATGATAGGCTACTGTTGTATCTTTTCACAAAGTTTGCAAATAATTTAGCTGCTGCTCAGCTTTGAAATAGTCTTACTCAGTAAAAACAACATTTCTTAAAATTTTCTTAGAGGGAACAGGGAACACTGCTGATAACAATTAGATTTTAAAATATGAATATTTCCTCGACCGTTGACGAACAAAAATGCTTCTTATACTTTTTCATTGCAAACTTTTTGTGCCTAATTTAAGAGTATTTTCACGAGTTAACGCGAGAGCTTTATAATTAAAAGTACTGAGAGCTAATTTTATGAGGCCAGATGTTGCCAGGGTTTTGTGCATTTTTTATTACTGCCATAGAATTTGAATCATTGCAATGATAAAATCACTTATTTGATTGTTACTTATGTTTTGAGAACATAACTAAACAGTGAAATATGCAAAACAACGAAAACGAGTCAACAGGACATTTTTGTACTTCCATTGTATTCATCCATTTTCATTGTTATACATTTTGCTACAATTTAGCCGCTCCACAATCTATTCAATCTCCCATTCAATTGCAGGGTTTGATGCTCAATATTGAACTGACCATACTTGTAGTATGCCTGACTTTTGGTTGATGCGATTAGCTTATATTTGGAAATCCCGGATACTTTCTGAGTCAGGAAATGAGCGTACGACATACCAACATCAAATTTAATACCCGGAAATTACTAGATCTTGGTTACTTTGATGGAATAGACTCCTTAGGTACTGGCACATAGGTTTGTGAAAGCAATATGCTACTGTATAGTCCAACAAGCCGAGTTTCAGATATACCGGTTTCATTGTTTACAATGTAGGATGTAGTAGAACAAAAGACATTTAATACGTGTTTATCATTTATTTATATAAGTATTGCTATGGAGTCTGATCATGAGAATAGACGTAAAATCCCGACACGGATCTCTGCGGTCGAAATAAGTAATTTACTCGTACTTGCGATATCGACATTTTCTTAATTCAATCATCGTACGATCAAAAACTATTTTCACATTTCATTAATTTATGATTACTAAAGTAATTTAATCGATAAGTGTTGGTAGTTTTAAAGACTAGTGCCGTGGGTATATTAAAACCTGGCTCGGTTTGAGTTTGACAGACCTACATGCATGTCCAACAACACCTTCTGCCAATGATATCAGTGAGTGAAATAGGGAATCATTCTTCGATTACCTTGGTCTGTTTACGGTGTAGATGTATTTTCTGCAATCATTTTTATGTACTCACCGTCACCGTATAGCTACCCATATTATGAAAATATAAGAAGCGCTGCAAAGTTGTTCAGGATAGGAAATATGTATAGAATTTTCATATTTATATCGAGAAGAGGAAAGCCAATAAGGTGGTTTAATCAAATGTTTATTCACGGTTCTCTCGTTAGGTCACTAGTCAATCTCGAGTGTGGAATTGCTAACCAATTGTTCGTTCCGATCATTGAATACGTGAACCACTTCTGACGACGAGAAGTCAACCGATCTGACCGCGGCCGACCAAATGATAGTTGAAAAGACTCTGAAATTCTCTTTTAGATTATTCAACGTTTATTTGGCTCTGAGAAATTGCCTTTACCAACACGATCTAGTTTTAACAGAAATGACTAAATACTTCCATCGTATATTTGATGAAATTCAAACCAGAAAGTCGCATTTTGTGTTAGAATTCTAAGTGTATTATACTGCGTTGCTGTACGGCAGTGTGTGTATGTATGATTAACACAAAAGCGGAATATAGATTACGTTTCAGGGTTTCGGTTGAGATAAAACATGTTGTCACTTTGAACAATGGGAATTCTTATATTGTTTGGAATGAGGCTTTAGTTCTTATGGTTGGATATAATAACTTTGATAAATATTAAATAAAATAGTCAACGGCTGACATCGTTAGATCTAGAAACAAATACTGGTTGTGAGATGTGATCATGTTTTTCAAACAGTTAAGCTTTTTAGTCCATGCTACATCCGCGTCATTGGTATTCATTCTGTGTATGACAGGACCATCCGATGGCATTTGTTTTTACCTTTACTTTACTATTTTTCGGCAGATTGAAAGATCAGGTATTTTTCTGTTCAGTGAGCTTGACCCCAGGCATATAATAATTTCACCATTATACTTATTTGTGGAAAAAATTCATGTAATTTTTGATCTGGCACGGTTTCATTTTTATTAATTTTGATAAGGTTTGACCATATTAGACGCTGTATTATTGAATTCATTAGTAATTCAAATTAAAGCTCTTGTGTGAGCGGTACTTCAAATTTTGTGGAGTGTCGTATCAAAGTCTTCGGAGTACAGGTTCTTAATACGAAATACCCACTTGTCACTGATATGTTTGTTTGTGTTCAGCCAACAGAGACAGCTGATCGTCGTTTGTTAATCAGTAACTCTATCGTACGAGTGTTTTCAAAATACTCAGAAATGCCTAACGTAAGGAGACAACGTGTGTCTATTTAGAATTATAGTGGCGATTGATTTCATGATGTTTATTGAGAAAGATCTTCAATTCCGCATTAATTGTTTAGCGGATGGTTCGCTTATCAAACGGGAGTGTTTTATTATGATTATGGCCTGGGAAGGCTCTAATATCCATGGCTTAGGTTATTAGTAGAAGGTCAGAATTGAAGATTCCCAAGATTAGTTTTTAGCAAAACTAAATATTTTCAGCATGCCTATAGCTATAGATCTGGCACGAATATTGGGGTATATATAGCTAGGCCTCTAGTCGATTTTAATTTGAAAATACCTTGTATCTAGTTACGTATTTAGATATTGATATCCGGTACGTATTTTAAAAAACAAAAATAAAAGAAACCAGTTATGCTATATTGCTAGGATGGTATGACCTAACTGAGTAATTGTAAATAAATGTAAATGCTAAATCAGCCAAACTTTTTAAGTCAACGCATTAGACAGATAATCGTAAATGGTCGATAGATAGGAGGAACCTGACTTGTTTAGAAATTTGGGAGCTCTAGTAAAAACAATTGTGATGAACATGTCCTGATCACATGGAATCACCGCTTTATAGACCTTTGTCTCACAAATGGAGCTGAGTGGTTTTAAGTAGTTTCGTTCTTGTAGCATACTGTGTTCATAACACGGCATTGTTTCGTCTATACGAGGTATACTCGAGCTTTGTCGCACAAATAGATCTATGTGTTCTATGTATTTTTTTTCAGTGGTGTCATTCTTGTATATACAACACAGCATCCGTTCTTATACTTGACATTATTTACAAATTAATGAACGTGTTACTGTAGCTTATTTGATTGTGATGTTCTGGTATTCGTTGTACCCTTAATCAGAATACAACATTTAAATATGCGTTATGGTACATTAGCGGAAATCCTTAACGATATCAGAATGAATAAATTATAATGTACTTTTGTAAAATTTGGATCACATTATTTTACAGTCCATTCAAGATTATTAGGTAATTGTGGAATGAAAATAAATTGCATGCAAGTTTTAATAGCAAAGAAGGTTGACTACAAGGTCTCGTACCATTATAGTTTGACTCTTATTCATTTTCACAAATACTTGTCACGGGTGTATATTTACTGTAGGCGTCTGCATGCGGACATTACATTCCTATTTCATTAGAGATATTAACCTTCACCGTATTTACTCGATTTTATAACGTTATTTTATTACCCCAGTTAGAAACTATCACATTGGTGGCGAAAGATTCGGATATTGCTGCTTTATGGTTCACTGGACTCAGATACCTGACAAGTAAGAACATGGAACAAACCGACAACGCTGTTCGTCAGAGGACATTACAAGAACTGTATCCTTTTGTACTATTCGTTGTATTTGTATAAAGCTAGATTGATTATTTACCTCGGTAAACTTTAAGTGCGAAATTTTGAACAAATAAACGTATTTTAGGCTTTCATAAAAGTACTATGAGATGGCATTTCAGTAATTCGTTTAAGTAATCGACGCGATGTTAAATGAAAATAATTAAAATGAACATGTGACGTCATAACAACGCTTCTAAGTTCAAGAGAAGACTTGTGATCTATTTTGTTTTGTTTTCCCTTACAAGCTAATCGTGACAAAGTAGAATAATTAAATATTTAAAGCCGTGAAATAAACCCAAAACTCAAAGTCAATTACGTAACTACAATATCCTTTGGTGCGTGTGAATGTCAGATAAAAGGGCGCTCCCGTAGTATGTGAACCAAGATGGCGGACAACAGAACATAGTATGGGTACCAGGTTAAGGTTAGGCCATAATTTTATTCCAATTTTTCTTATTTTAATCCTATTACGAGTTTGGGGACTAGCCAAGTGGCTCCCGTAGTATGTGTACCTGAAATTTTGACATAACCCTAACCATGTACACATACTACGTTCCGGTGTCCGCCATCTTGGGCGGATAATCTAAAGTCCGATATCGATTTTAAGCATTGAGAAGGAGAATGACAATTTCTTATCCAAGTTTATCGAGAAAATGAAACGTAAAACCACATCAGGGTTCAATAAGTTCCAGAAAACATGATTTTTATTCTGTCCTTTAAAATCAACGGCCTTGACGCAATTTCTGGTATGGCAGATGTGCAGACCACTTTTTTGATAAAAAAAATTTTTATATTTGTCACGTAGGTGAAAAAGTATGATGTACATATTCAAAATTTTTATTTTTGGAAATATATTTGATTTCTGTGACAAACATATGCCTAACTCCCTAAATATTCCATGGTACTCGCTTTCACCATAAACCATCACATGGTATATTTTAGGCAATGTGACATTTATACTTAGTTTATATCCTACCCGCTCTACTGCTGAATATACCGTGGTAAAATAAAACAAATTAACTTAATTTTGGCACATTGGTCTTGACTCGCGAATATTGATTGATGTTAGTGCATGTGAAATGAAACCCAGTGAATGCATCATAAAATGATTTAAAGGAACCAACCAACATTGTTAGATACAAAGGTAGTTTAAAGCGATCTACTTCTCCGGACTTTTAGAAAGTTGTTCAGATCGATTCAAATGAATTCGTCCCTCTCATGCCGTCATATTTAGAACAAATATTTATACTCCATCATTGAAGATTAACACTGTTGATTTGATTACGTTATTCTAGCGCCACTTCAGGATTTCAAGTAACAATTTTTACGGAACGTGATCTTGTATTTTCGCTTTAGAACTGCTTATAATTTTACTCTTATAATTCCACTCAAGACCTATTTGAGCAATTACGATCATAATCTCAATTTCCTTTTGGGGTGCAGTTCCCAAATATAATCATATATTCTTTAATAAACACTACTCGTAAATTGCCAAACGCGCTTCTGTGCATAATAAATATTCATTTTTAAAATAATATATAACGATTTGGCATCAGATCGTATCAATAATGCATAACGTTATAGTATATTTGCATATCTGTGGTCCACACAAGAATTATTGTGAAAAAATTTATATTGACCTCCTATATATTTTCCCACATATCCACAACTCGTGTAATAAGCAAATTTTGGTAGATATGCGTTTTATTGATTTTTATCTTTAGAGATAACGGTGATATAATACCGCAAAATGATATAGTGTGGGCTAGAATATAACGAGTATTAATTTCCATAAAGGATCAAATATTCGAAACATCAAAAATTTTGTATATTCTAGATTGATTCAAATTTTTGATTTTATAAATAATTTAAAATACTTTCATAAACATACGTAATTCTTCGTTTTTGATTTATGATATTCTGACCCAAATTATGCTTCTGATGACTGTCTGAACAACATATGTTTTAACTTTTCTGCATCGCAGAAAAAAATCTATATAAATCTGTGAGCTCTGCAGCATGTTCTATATTTAATTCAAATAGTTAGAATATATTCGATATTTTATATTAGAAAATATTATTTCAGAATGTATTTGGAATAGTTAACTATTGAATTTTGACCATCAAACATGAAGCTCGGCATATGTTTAACTATACCGAGATTGATTATAATATCCCTGAAACGATGAAGTTATAATATTGGGTAAATGATGAATAATTATCTAACATTATGCAATTGCATTTAACTTTATCATTTCTTGACCAAGAAATTGACAGATGGATACGGAGAACATTTATGGCGGCTGATAAAAACGGAGATGGGCAATTAACCATCGATGAGATAATGGCTCTTATGAAGAAACTAAATGCGAACTTACCACGACGAAAGGTGAAAGCTATGTTTAAGGTATGAACGGTTGTTTTTTGATTGCCCCCAAAGTATATATGTGAATCGTTTTCCGAAATTGTTGTGGTTAATAGGGTTGTAAAAAATTAATTTTCTCGCAACTAATGAATCAAACCATTTCAAATTTTCGTTACTTGGAAATGGAATAATTCGCGAGTAGACTAATTTTTTTATCCCACGGGACCAAATATTTTACCTAAAATTCTGCTGATTGTCACACTAAACTGAAACATCCTAAATACAGAGTCTGTTTACAATTGTTTAAACATCTAGTTGGATTCTGGTAAACTTGTGATAGTCATTTGACGACATCCGGCGATATATTTCGGCCCGCTTGTTTTTATTTTAATTCGGTTTCGTACAGTAATGTACGTTAATTTTTTCCGAATTTGTTTTGATTTCTGGACCACGTTGTACCAATTATTTTATGTTTTGTTTCTTTCCATGCTTCGATTGATTGATATATATTGTTGGTATCCCGTCTGAATTGCGCAGCTTTCTGAACAATTTCGACCTAATAAGATATTTTTAAAGGAGTAGTTCTGAACATAGAATAATAACCATAAAAATAATCGGATGGTGTACTCTGAAAAAAAGAAATACGTTGAAACTCTTATTATCGTCTAAGGGTCCGATCAATCTGGAGGGAAATGAAAAAAAATTATATTTTCGTTTGCTATTGCTAGATATCCGCTCCCCGCATGTTGAAGGCGAAACTATTTAGAATGTGCCATTCACAAAAGCCGAATTTCAATTGAAAATTTTAGTGCGTTTCAAAATCAGTGCAACTTTTTGTAATAATATTGGTTTACTCGACAACTGTACACTATCACAAATTAAATGGTACAGCTGGTACACAACATTTTTAAGACACCATGAATTTATGAGATGATAACGTTCCTTATTGAGATGTGGGAGTGCTCAGTTTTAAAATTCATTCCCAACCTATATCCAAATAATTCTAATTTTGTTTGTACGTATTGTAGGCCAATAATTTTGGAATGGCTCAATGTCGATGACGTAATTGTAATAGCTAAGCTAACATGATTTCACGACATTCAAATGTAAGCCCGCACCGACTAAAAGTTTCAGCTCAAATTAATCATAGGTTTATTGACCATATATAAACACAAGTCAGAAACTATTGGAGTTAAACTTATGAACGGAAATTATTGAAATATTTGTATGGTCTTGCTGCACTTTCATGTAACCGTGCTTTGAATTCCGAAGTATCGCCGTCTAGTCATATCTACTATAGATGAACTCCCAAAAACTTTTTAATTACTTGTAGATAATGTATTTTGACTGAGAAATATTGATTTATCGAGCTGTTATATTTTTTGGTAATCACGTTATAGCTGTTGATCATAATATGTCGATATTTCATTTCGCGTTATCCCTTCATGAACCTGAATCTTTGTTGAAATATATCAGTGAAAATTACCAATTTCGCGGTAGAATATTTCTGAAAGGAATTATGGTTGTGTAGATAGATTCGAAATCGATTCCTCAGCTCAATTTCGCTCCTTCCCAATCGGCCCTTTCTTTCGAGGAGAACAATTTTTTTTTTTTTTTGAAAAGGATTAAAAAAAAAATAAATTGAGACATCGAGTAAACTAAGTCTTCTGTATCTCAGATTCCCTTCATATAGCTTATAGATATTGTCATTTGGGTTTGGCTGATTTTAATCTTTTTCCATATTCCGATATCTATTTCATTTATCTGTATCTATTCAGATTTTCGACTATTGCTGCTTAATCTTTTTTCGTCTCTTCCTTTCTTCCTTATTCCTTTATATTTCCTTCTTTTTCTCAGGTCTCCAGCGTTTCTTCTCTAAGTTCTCTTCTTACTCCTCAACTTACTTTTCCTACTTTTGCTTTTGCTTGGGTATTATTTTAAAAACTATTATTAATATGTTGATAACGTTATTGGAATATTATAAAAAAAAAAACATGCAAATTCAATAGTTCTTCCATAACGTAGTGATTTGGTCATAGTTATATAGTGACTAAATAATAAAACAGTTGACCAATCATGGGCAGTAGCTATAGGCTGCACCTATTCACGCCATCCATTCACTGCTGTCTGTATGTTCGATTTCGTGTGTTTACTTTATCCAGTACGCCAAGCACTTAAGTTCAATTCAAATTGGGAAGTGACTTCTTATTCAGAGTTTCATTGGCGTCTTCTTAAATGTTTGTAACGCTTAATAAAACAAATATATATGTGTAAATATGTGGATGCTACTAAATATTATTACAATCATTAATTTTTTTTTCTGGGTCTTCCGGGTGTTTTCCCAATTAGTTGTGCAATTAGTCAGTCGGGTTGTAAATCGAATCATTTATATTAAAAAACATATGATAAAACACCTCGAACGTCTCTAAAGAAATGCATGCGATCAAAGGTATGTAAAGAGTATTTTGATACGCGTTGCCAATCGCAAATTATTCGACCCGGGATCTTATTATATAAAAATTATCACATGACGCTTACAATTCGATACCTTTAAAGTCGAGAATAAATAACGATTTTAGGGAATAATTTTTGTTTTTGGTTTTTAAAACACAGGCAGCTGATTCTGCTATTGATTCTGATGGTTACCTTGACTACGAAGAATTTTTGAATTTTTATCGAAGTATGGCAGTCAGAAGTGAAATTCAGTCCTTACTGGAAAATATCTCAGAAGGAAAGGATGTCATGAGTGCGAAGCAACTTCAGAAATTTTTAATCAAAGAACAGAAACGGGTATTGATGCTGTTTTTTTTCTATTAAGCGGTAAAATTATTATGTAATACAAAGAAATGTTTATCTTATCATATTTATCATAATCATCACATTTTGCCATCGCCAAATCGAATTTCGAACTTTCAATTTTATTTTCGAAAAAAATACAAAATATTGATTTGTTGGTATTTCATAATTTTATCACGTCTCCTATCCGCATATCAGTTTATTACAAAATCACACCGCAAATTTCCCTTATATATTTCATTCATTTTGTAAATATTTTTAGTTTAAATCAATAAATAAGAAAATTTTATCCAGATTTGATAAGAGTGAATTACCATTAAGAAATGATACTTCAGTCATTTGCAGAGCTCACAAAAGTTGGGCATAGATGAGGTCCTTTTAAGACTCAAAATTACGTGTACGCTCACGTCGCCAATTTGAAATATTCTTATTTGGAATTATCAATAACAACACATTTGGTGATTTAATAAATAGCATTGATTCCTGATTATGTGCCAAACCTAATGACAAACTAGAATTATGCTTATATGCTGCTTCCAACTCAAGATCAAGACCGAATTGAATAGCCTGGTCCAACAGTTTTAACGTGACACGAAAGGATTTAGCGCTAGTGTTAACACGGCCTTAAAAACTTCTTTACTTTTCGACACATTTTCATTTATCAAATCCTATTATCATTTGTGAAATTCACGACCAGCGACCATGTGTGGATAATTAGAAACCTAAGGCAAATAATAGTTGGCGTGTTTCTAGTGGATTCTGAACTACATCAATAATGCATACGACTATAGCAGAATCAGTTTTATTACTTTTTGGCGCGAATAAAACGCGGTTTTCTACTTATCGGGGAAATTGACATTACGTCTATAGGCAGGGAGACTATTATATGAAAAAATATTTTACCCACACGGGCCACACTAACATTTGCCATTTAAACTTGTCAGTTTGAAACTAGGGTGGTTGAGTCATTTGGACATTCCAAAGTTTACCAATTGGCCAGTTATTTCACTCATTTTAGTTTAATATTTTTTTCCTATAAGTAATAGATATCGTGATACGGCCTTGTACATCAGTGTTTTCGAATCCCTCTTTCAAATTAGCTTTGCTGAATAGATATATTTGAGAGTAAACTTCAAACATATTTCAATTTGAACATAGATTATTTGATTTCGATGTCTACTACACTTGTACAGGCAGCAGCTGATCCGTAATGAGCTACTATTGGGCATACCCAATATGAGTAATAATCTCAATAACCTTACCCTACGGCCTACCTTAAAGCATCAGCATTTTGAACAATAACTTCTCACAACCGACACGACTTACCTGCTCAAATGTTCATCATTCTAATCAAAATCGTTTCACATTCAATATTTAGAATGGAGTAACAGACGAACAATGCACTAATTTTATTGAAATATTCGAACCAATTGACGAAAATAAGAACGCCAGGGTCTTCGGCGTAGAAGGTTCGTATATTTATATATTATATAGACCTCGTTTACACAGCGCAACTACATGTATAAATTAAAAGGCAACAGGCCAAATGAGGCAGACAGTAGCATTTTTGTGTCCCGTTAATTACAGTAACAATAATAAATTGTGCTCTGCTGCGGCAGTCAAATACCAATGTATTACCATTCAATTTCATGATTTGGAATCGTCAAGTCTGTAGTTTCTCCATAATCTGATTTGGAATGGGATAGTCGTAGAGAAATTTTAACGCCTTCCTTGTTTAGTTGAAATTAGCTCTCTTCACCCTAAAGCTGATTAAATCTAATTGAATTTTGTCATTCTCAATTTTGATTTCGATTTTTAAACAATATTTTCATGTCGACACCATTATTAAATATTATTACAACGATTTCGATTAATCAAATGGTTTTTAGCCCGAAATGATTACGTTCATGGCGCACAAGATAGTCTCTAGTGGTCAATGATTAATGTGTGTTATCATTAAAGATAAATAGTCTTGATCAGTGGCATTTCTAACGATAACCTTGCCATATCGCCCAATTAACGTTAATTTGTTGTGAAGATAACTATTATAAAGAATTATGCTTCTTTGTTCCAAAACTACAACCATACTTCTGAGTAGGGATTGTGCATATAATTTACTATTGTATGTAATTCACAAGCCAAAGGAACTTTACTTAAGGAAACAGTGACTTGGTTGTGACAGTAATCATGGAAAAATGTTGAACCCATGTCTTTCCAGCTATTGCCATACATGTTCGTGTCCGAATTAACAAATATTTTTGTAAATTGTCAAATTTGATTCAATAAATTTATTCTATAGTGATAACGAATAGCTTGGATCAAACATCTTTGATTCTTAAAATAGAACCTTGTCCTCCTTCGACCTTTGTTGGTAGATTATCATGTCCGTCCATATTTAATTAAACATTGGAATTATATTAATTTACCGCAGTCGCTTCACAAGATTGAATTCTCTAGTGAGCACATTGTCCCTTATGTCGTCATATAATCCACACAAGCGCGTATAACCTAACTTGCTGTCTATATGACAGCTCAATAGAACTTCACGTGGAAAGCGGATGCCAATTGGGGCCGCATGTACATCCACTCTTCGATTTGCGAATCTAGTAAACTCGCGCTCGCTCACCTTTTTATTCGATGCGTTGAAAACATCATGTAGATTGATTTTCTCGTCATCTACCATGGTTGCACCGAGTCGCGTTCATTGAGTTAGATTTTTGCGAAAAATCACAATTGAGAAAGTTGAGCAACAGGATGTGAAACACTTAAAAAAATGTTGAAGTGTGCCCTAATTTAACTTCAAACTATGGTAATGTCCTATTCACCACATCTTAGCACTAATAAACTGTTGTTGTGAAAATTTTTTTGGTGTTATATAACATTCGTAGATCGGTCAGGTCTTCATAAATTAGCCTGTTTTAAGAATATGTTTTGATAAAACCATTCAAATAGCGTTTAGAATTATATGTTCATCCCTTCTCCTGTAACCTATATATATACATATTTTATCTTTTATTTTTTAGGTTTTACAAATTTTCTCACTAGTTCCCATTGCGACATTGTTGATTCATGGTATGGCGTTGGAACGGGCGTAGGGGCATCCACAATGGGAATGCCACGGTCTGAAGTTACTCAACCAATGACACACGCACTCACAGACTATTTCATAAACTCCTCACACAATACGTATTTAGTCGGAGATCAACTTACAAGCCAAAGTTCCGTGGAATGCTACGCGAGGGCACTTTTGGGAGGATGCCGATGCGTTGAACGTAAGTACCTTTCGTGTCATTTGAAAATCACACGTGTTTCAATTATGATTCTGTGAATACTATCATAAACGAAAAAGCACTACACGACCAAGGGACTAATTTGGTCACCTCAAGGCAGGACAGGAGCTGGCCTAGGGGAGAGCCATATGGCCAGCCGCCCCGGGCTGCACGTTGTATTGAGCAGCAGATAAATGAGTTTGATCTTATACATGTTTTGTTGCTCAGTATGATGATTTAAATAATAATACAAACATTTCACTCCTAATTGACCTTCAATTTATTCATTCCCATGTATAACAACATCTATAATTTGTTTATCCTTCGAATTTTTTTTGAAGTTAGGCATAGGGGGCATCATTATCAGAAACTTGCCCTGGGAAGCAAAAAAGTTTGGCACGCCCCTACCTCAATGTCAGCAAAATTTCATCCAAATTAAAAAAGAAAATATACTGAATGTCAAATAAAATTGTGTGAATTATGAAAATCAGCAAAATTTGGGTTGAAATATCATACTCGGTAACGCTAAAAAGAGGAAAACTAAAAAAAAAAACATAAAAGCAACTAACAACCTATATTCTCCAATGTTGTAACTTTTGAAATAAAAACATAAATCATGGTTAAGCTGTGTAAACCATAATTGAACGATCTAAAATCTTCAAGTTTGGATACGGAACAAACCAAAAAATCGTTTGACTGTCTTGGGGAAGGAAGCCTAAACAGTTAATTTAACGCCTGTAACGATGATTGTTGGTTTATTTCGAAAGGACGAATGCGATTTAGAGGCCCTCTCGATTTACAAATATGTAAGAAACAAAGTAAAAATGTGCTTTCTTCAAACATACGCGACAATAAAATGATACATTTGGTATTTAGAAATTATTTTCTAAAAAATGTGTACCATGCACACAGAGTGCTTCTTGTGGGCAAACCCTGAAAGTGTTCTGAATAATGCTTTTTTGTGACCTTGTCTTTTTTTCTATTTAGTCGATTGTTGGAACGGACCAGACGATGAACCGATTATACATCACGGATTTACTTTTACCTCGAAAATTTTGTTTAAAAGTGCGATTGAAACGATAAACCAGTTTGCTTTTGTCAACAATCCGTAAGTACTCTTATCCTAACATATTATAAAAGGGTATCGAGAGGTGAATCTTGATTACGGGTGGTGAAGTCCATTAAATGCTTGTTTACATCAGATTTTGGAACAAGTTCAAATTGTAGATTTGTATGGCACGATTACTAATAAAGGCCTCTGCCTGATTTAATCTCCGCCTTAGAGGATTAAGGATAGAGATTAAGGTGGGTGTCTCAACAATTTAATAATGACAAATGTGGGACAAATGGTACAAATGGGACACCAGGCTAACTATTAGAGAATTTTTGGTCTCACGGCGACCCTAAAATCAACAAACTGCTTTTTTTAATAATGTACACGTAAACCTGGTATATGACATCGTGCACTTTCTCAAATTCAGCAAGAGGATAAACCTTAAAAGATAATAATGATTGAATATATAGTAAATATTGATCATGGATACCTCTACACCTGAATCATTTATCCGTCCAGTGACTACCGGCTATTCACAAACTCTAAAAGAAGCGAAGAGAATTAATAACACTATTTAAATGCTTTAGTGTCAGGTAGTTATATGATCACGACAGAAAATAAAATTGACAGTATCCTGAATATTTCCAAAGTTTTCCATCCAGTAAAGTTTTCAGCCGTCGTACTCGGTCTTCCGTTTACTGTCAGTGTCCATCAGTTGCCAAAAAGTTTTTTTTTAAGAAATTCAGTCATGTAGAATGAACAACCTCGTATATTTTCCTGATCGTACTGGCTTGAAATACTCGAGCTAATCGAAATTAGCTGTAACGTAATTCAACAGGATAAATGTATAAATCTCAGTATTTATATTCCAATAGTCGTCCGCAATGTTGCTCAGAGATCTGTCGCCCTTACGTTTGAGTGAGTGCTCGTGACCTTGAAATTCTCTTATATAATATATTATTTTTAAAGTTAATACGTTAATATATTACCCTTGTATTATGTTTTCCCATCATCTGTTGTAACACGAAAAAGCTTTCAAATGAATGGGGCTATTCATCTTCCTCTATGAGCTAAATGGATTAATATAGTTGAATAACTGTATTTGATATTGAACTTCGTTAAAAACTGGTCTCCAGTTCATTATTTTCAAAAGTAAACATTGTGGTAAAATTTTAATATTATTTTAGCAATATACCGGTAGTGGTAGTTTTGATGTGGATTTTCCGCCTTTTAATTAAATCAAACAATATCGTCATCTGATTATGTTCTATTTGCGAGTCATTTTTTGATCGTAATTTTAGCTTGATAATTGCAACAGTGATTTATGATATAGTAATACCTAATTTCATTTTTAACTTATTTTGATTGCCAATCATCAATTGTTGAAACGAATCAGTAACCGCATTTTCACAGCCTTGTCGGAACGAATCATGACGTTAACCAATTCGGGGACAAATCAAGCTGAAATCGTCGGAATCGTTATTTACATAACAATGAACTCCAAAAGTCATATCTTTTAATTTTTATAGTTATTTAAATCTTGGAAATGGGACCTTCAACTCACCAAAATTACTTCCAATTTCTTACACTTACTAGTTTTGCTATGCCGTAATGGTTGTAAATTATATCTTGTCATTCTTTCCATTCTGTTGCTATGAATGTCCAGGTAATGCTAATATTTGCTTACAAAATATACTAACTAATCACTTTTTTATTGGATGACTATATTGTCATTCCAAAAATACTCTGAATACTTTAAATTCTTTCAATTAGGTAATTTTAGTCCTTTTCCATATTACAGAAACATGCCTCTGAGTTGGCATCTATTATTATAATTCAGTCCTATGAAATGGGAAAACATTTAGTTGGCGGTCAAAAATACCTGGTCAGTCCCTATGCCCACTCCACCTCGGGTAACTACTATCCCTTACTCCCGAAACACAGTATCTAACACCGTTTGTGTGGTTGCTTGTCAACAGTCGTGTTGAGAGCGAATGTACAAACGCCTGATAAATTATTATATGCTAATATTCATTTATTCTATATATAATCAAATTTTATTAAAATTCAATTTTGTGTCCAAAAACACGCTAACCCTGGAATCAACCGGTGTTATAATAACAAATTGTTAATGGGTGTGACATGTTTTTGAGAAGTCTTAATTAACTGAAAATGCGAAGAGTTCAGACCGTCTGGCAATCGATTTTTCGTTGTCAAGCGTACCTTATTAAGACCTAATATAATTTGATTTAGTACGCAGCAAAGTTTGGGGGTGTCTCTCAAATTAGATTATGCTTAATATCACATATTACAAAAGAAATAAGCGTGTAAGAGTCCTCGATGCAATATCCCCACTTTTGCCCGTGAGATTAAGATCGATCACTCCGAAGTCAGCGAATGCGTTTCACCCATTTGAACTTGGACGTCTTGAATTAGAGTTAAATTATAGTCCAATAAACTTTCCCAAGCACCCTTACCTACTCAAGTTTAGGTGCTACACACAAGCAATGAGGTAACACAGTTCAATTGCGCAGAGAGATATGACATTATAAGGTATCATTATTGCGCATTTCTTTAGAGCATGGTCGGCCAACCTTTTTGGCCAAAAGGTCACATGTAGTTCATTAATAATTGCGCGGGCCACTTGACATGGTAGTAATGATCTAGTTGTGCTACACTGACTACTGGTTATTAAAAAAAAAACAGTACCCCACATCAAACTTTCCTAATTATTAGAACAATAAAACTGTTGTTTCCCAATCATTGATGGGGCGCCATCAGTGGTTATTCCCAAAAGTTTTGCCAAAGACAAGCCAAGACGCTTGATCATTTTTATCACAGCTTTCAACAAACCAATGCCTCTAGTCGTACCCTTAACAAGGTCAATGACTGCGAGCTCCACGGTAATTTCATATCATCCTTAATTACACCCGCAGGAAGATCGCAAGTCGCCAACTGAGCAGTAAACTTGATGTCGGTGCTTTCGTCAGGCGTCAAGAAATAAGATAAAAATGTCCCGCTATTGCAATTAAAATTTCCGCAATAGAATTCCCAAGCTCTTCAACACGACGAGTTATGGTCTGTCTTGGCAGGCTATTTTTGCAAACACCTCTTTTATTTCCGGACGTAAAACATTTGCAATCCGAACAATACAAATATACATTCCTAAACGAATTCTCTATCTGAGAATGGCTTCGATTGTTTTGCGATGACATCATATAGAGTAGTAAAAGACCAAGTGTGTAAGCGACTATGGCACCTTTATGTATCGATATCTCCTCTCAGTTGGTTTCGATTCAAAATGGCACTCATGGCTCGTTTGGAAGAACTGGCAGAGCGCATTTCCGGGAAATAAACAAATCGTTTGTATCACATCTTATAAAATTCTGAAAATCAGCGCGGGCCACTCGAAATGCTTTCGCGGGCCACATGTGGCCCTCGGGCCACGAGTTGGACGACTCTGCTTTAGAGCAAAATGATGCTATAATATACATTTGGACAAAATGTTATACAAATTTTTGTATTTTGCTTACTTTTGCTTCGTTTTTGCCCCGTAAACGTGCGCGTTTTAGCTAAGATACCAAGATGGGCCAATGGTCTCAACATGCTATGCAAACAGATACGAAGATAATTATTGGAATGCCACCAATACAACAAAACGTCCAAAAAGTATTGCGCAATAAGATGTAGTAATATAATATAAATCTTTAGATTGAAAAGTAATCGTTTTTAATTCATTTTCATCGTTTGAATTAGAGGATTTTATTTACAATTATATATAGAAATTTACACTCTAAATTCAGATGAATGCTAGGAAAAATAGAAAATTGTGACACCTGAGGACGTGGCTTGATGGTTTAACCTACAAACCTAAACATTCAAACATGCTGTTTTGTTTAGTCGTAGTCGCTTCTTCACGACCGATAATTTTACGTCCCATAGGACCCTTCAATATTAAAAGTTTTAAAACAGGTTGTGACTGGTAGGACACGTAGTATGAATAAATCTGTGTTTCAAAGCGGAACCAAAATCGCATTTTCAAACACTGTTTCGTGGTAAATAATTTAAAGTCCCAATGCGATCTTTAATTTGAATTTAATTTGAAAACACGTCGGAACTAATGAAGTTCGCGTTCACGAAAAACGCAAGTGTCCTTCAACTGCCACGAGATCTTTTAATTAAAAGAGAACAAATGCTTTGCCCTAACCAATTTATGTCTACAAATTGGCAGGTCAAGGTAAAACACACGCAAACCTATTTGGATGCAAGCGCCGATCAACAAATGCACTTTAAAAATTTATGAGGTGACTAGGCGCGTGAGAACCTTTCAAAGACTGCGTGTCATGTATGTCGAGGCCAATTATAAATGGATTTTCTAAATGCTATTTTGTTCGCGTGGCCTAGGAATAACTCAATATGATGGACTCATTTCACTTGGCAGAAAAAATTTCCATGAAAGTTATAAAAATTCCCAATATATTTTCGGTCTACTTCCGGTTAAATTAAAATTAATCTCTTTGCCCGGTGTGGTTAATCTAATCGGGAAACCTAATGGTGCAAAGCATTGTTTTTATAAGCAAATCCAGTCATGTTATGTACAAGTTTGGCATATTCATAAAACTTCAGTCAAGTAATTATATAAAGAGCAAATATTGGTTAAATTGATTGACACGCCGGAAATGACAAAAACCAAAGCCGTTTGTTAGCGAAATTAAAAAATCTTAAACTATCAGTAAAATAGGGTAAATTTCGGAATCCTAGTAACTGTTACATCATAGAATGAATCCCAATCATGAGTTATTTCTGTTCATTTTACAATAATCAATATATATATATTGATTCGATTACAAATCTCACATTGGGGAAACGAAACTTCATTCGGATAATAAAATCTGAATCTTGGATAACAATCAGATGTTGCCTTAATGGTTTAATGGCCACCTTTAATGCAGGAGGGCCAGATACAAATAACTGGGTGAAAGCGCGGGCCGCACCTTTATTTAGCATAAACCTTCTAGTAGTAGTTGCGAGCACAACGATTTTGGTTATTGATCTTATGATACGCGTTGTTCACTTCGCACAAGCTATCTGTTAGGGCATTGTAACGTCATAGGCATAGATAAAGAACTCGGGTAAAGGCTTTGCAACGCAAATGGAATTTGAATAACTCGCACAACTGAATTAAAAACTCGTTTTGTGAGCTGCACCCCATGCAAAATCGGCACTCTTCCGCGGGCCGCACAGTTTTTCCTTGTGAGCCGCATTTGTACCGCGGGCCGCAAGTTGCACAACCTGGGTCTATGCGGACGACGGAACAACAGTCGAAACATCTGAGTCATTTAGTACAATATATTGATTTATATTTTGATTCACACTGTTAAAAATTTCGTATATATACGGTATGTATTATATATTACGCTATATATGCGCGACGCTTATTCGCGCATATCGCTCTGAACAAGGCTCCATCCACTGAAGAATCCAATGATATCTAACGATATATAACGAGCTACTATTTTGGAAAGACCTGAAGCATTCCGATTTGCCGTTGCCGCACTTCCAATTATTATAAACGCTTTTACCTAAGTGGTGGTCGGTCATGGTTTCCCCGCCACCAAGTCCATGTACCCGAAACGAATAACTGGCTAACTATTCCCATACCGAAACATGAACTGATAGCAAGTTGAGAGACTGATGAAGTCGTGGTATCGGCTTTCGTCTATCCCAGTATAGATTTGAAAAATCCTATTTTAATGGTTCTAAAATAATATTATGTGGTCAAACTGGTCATACTTGGTTCTAGATGGGTGTAGTATGCAAAACATTGAGCACCACTTTACAATGCAGAGATGAACCGATGCTTACAAAGTATACATAGAATATTATATTACAACGTTGTAGTGAATTTGCATCTAAATTGTCATTCAAAATTAATCACGAACAGCATAAATTAACATATAATACAGGAGATCGGAATCCGCTGTCATATTTTCCGTATAATTTAAAGCTATTTTTAAACTTATTTTGAGCTTGAAAATAGTCCCTCGGGATTCATACCTCTTGTCAATAAGCCTTCGTCGAACGCAAGGAATTTATTGTTCATGTGTAAGGTATCAAAAATTAAAAAAAAACTCCTCAGTCTAAAAGAAAAGGGACCGCATATGCCACAATGTCCATAATTATTTCAAAAAACTTCTTAATTAGTGTGACTTGGTCTCGGTATTTTTAGTTACTCTTTCATATGTCTGTAAGTTTTCGAATTAGCGTGCTACCAGAGCCAAAGATGAAAACACCATCTGGTGCAGTGGTTCTCAAACGTTGGGCGCGCCTCACTCATGCGTAGACAATTTTTTAAGAGGGCGGCTAATTAAAAATAAAAATATTCCGTTAGATTCGATCTTATCCGCCTTCAAAAGAGGCTTCAAAAGAGTCACTGATCCAGTAAATACAGTGAATACAACTAATATTATGTGTGTTGATTTTCGAGCATTGAGACATTTTTGATGTTTCAATTAATCCTCCAGAAAGGAATGTGTAAAAATAATTCCCCCAACTCCTTTGATTACCAAAAGCGCAAACGTTAAATCGAACCACCGGAAGCGTCACTTTTTAAATACTTGATTCAATTATTCTTGTATAGCGGGGTGTTTAATAGCTTGAAGTCCACACAACAACATTCATGTATATCAAGGTTAGTCGCTTCTTCTGATATCCGGAATTTTTCTTTGTCCCAGCATTACTCGATTGCCAGATCTGATGTGGCGCTCGGTGGTAATATCAGGAAAGACCCTTTGATACGTTTTTCCGCGAGAATATGCACTTTTACGCACCTACGACTCTTAAAAATTAATACTTTTCAGTTTTATAAGCTCAAATTTATAACTAAAAAAGCTTCTTCTATACCGCGCAGCGCTAGATTACGTCACTCCCATTGTTTATCTATGTACTTGATATGTCCAGATGTATCGTTCTAAATAATTTATGCAATTTCTAAAAAATATATCATCTGACGTGAAGTTTTTAGTCTGTCATATTGGTTGTTTACATTTTCTCCCTGGCCAACGTTTTTCGTGGTCACACTTTCTCACAGTAAATATTTTATTACCGAGAATAATTATTAGGAAAAGGATCGGAAATAAATTTTCGTTGAATATATATATACGATTTTTTTTTCTTAATTCAGCATTATAATAATCTTTTCCATTTTATTTGTAGATATCCCGTTATTCTTTCCCTTGAAAATCACTGCTCTCTTCCACAACAATGTCGAATGGCGGATATAATGAAGGAAATATTTGGTAATAAATTAGTACGCGAAGTTAGTGAAAAATGTAAAGAAGAAATGAAATTTCCATCACCTGAGGATTTGAAAGAAAAAATTCTAATAAAGGTCTGTTGAATACACTGTTTGCCTAAAATTTAACATTGGTTTTCTGTCATATTTTTTCAAATGAGAAAAAGATGCCACTCAGATGAAAATCACAATTATTGTACAATATTTATTTTTTACAATAATTTTACAAATCGCAAGACGAAGATGTTACTTAAGAAATATGAAAATACAAGCTAAGGCAGTTGAAGCAAACAACTTATAATTCCTATGAAATTTCTTACGCCATCATCAAACATGACGTCAGATGCAATAATTCCTACCAGAAAGTTAAATTATGCAACAAGTAAAAATTGTAAGAAAGACGTTATCAAGATTTTGCATCGTCTACTGAACATAACTGCATATTAATTAGAAAAACAAAATAGAACAATAGGTTATATTATTCCAGTGCAAAAAACTTCCCGGTAATATATCGCCTAATGCAACACAAGGTGAAGTAAGCGACGAAGGAAGTGACGATGAACCAGTGGATCAAGTTAGAAATGGTTTCGATGGCATGGATATAAATGACGTTGACAATAGGGTAAGTTGTTTACGTCACCAATAAGTCCTCCAAAAAAGTTCTATCTAACCTAGGGCTGGGCATTTTCGAATACCTGATGATTTCAGAATCAAATCGAAATTTTTTTTTTAAATCGAATCGAATCTCGAATACTTGGAAGATGTCTGATTGTACGTGACTTATTCATTGTGATGGGTCCTTCCGGCACATAAATTTCTGCAAACATTGAATCTTCTACTCAGACAATTCCATGAGTTGTTCCATATTCGATTCGAATTTTAAAAAAACAGAAGCAAAGAAGTGACTGGAAGCATCTGGCGCTCATCAACAGCCTAAACTTAAAATATTAATTATTAATTTAAAATTTCAATTCTATATTCGATTCGAATGTTCGATTTGAAATACCCAGCCCGAATTATCTGTTTCTAAATTTGGTTGGGTATTTTTATCAATTGATTTTAATGAATGTGATACAGTGTTTTTTTTAAATCCATAGCACATCTTCAATCTGGGATGCAAATTGAAATATAGTTCTACAACTTTAACCAACATTTTCGTCTTTGGAGAAACACCAACGTATAAGATAAGACATAGAAGAATAGATCGGTACAGCAAAACATGGACTCCTCAATTTCCATCCATGTTCTTTAACGATAATTATAAAGCAAAACTTATTGTCAATATAAATACCAACGAAAAACTATAAATTAATTTTGTAGAACTGTGAAAAAGAATCTAAAAGCAAAAACAGTGTTATGAAAAGATTTGGTGGCAATTTTCGTTCTAGAAACACAGTGCCGAAAAAACGAGACGTGACTACCTCGGACAAAGATGAAGTATGTATCTCCATCATTATAGTATTTACTAATGAAATTGTAGAAAATGAAAAAGTATTACTATTCTCTAGTGTTGAATTGTATATGTGTTTTTTTCATCAAACGAGGGCTTGGGTTCGATCTCAAAATTATAGGATGCTTTTGTTCATTTCAACTCATTTTGCTCTACAAAATGTTGACGAGGGAGTAAGTTACCTATAAAGAGATGTTATAATCAGTCATATTACCTTAAGGCGATTACTTATCATGTAGTACTGACAATTTATATTCTCCTATAGCGGCCCATATGAAAATCTCGATATGTCTGCTTTCAACAAATAATATGCAGCCCTGACTTTGTTCCCACAAACAATTTCAAGTTTTTCATCTCTAGTGTCGAAGTCAATCTGTGGAGAATACAGATACGTCGTCACCGATTGGAGAAAACATTGACTCCCCACAAAAATTGGGAAGGTCGGTTAGTTTTCGACGTAGAATGTCTCGAAAACTGAGCCTAAGATACAAGGTATATTGAGATGTTCGACGTCGTTATCAACATATCTGTCGTTGTCTTCTTGTTTGTAACGCAAAATTAATGTGTCAGTGTATCGCAGGGATATGCGCTGGGTTTGCTTTTGTATTCACTAATATTGCAAACCCAAACTCGGCCTCAACGTGGAATCTCGAAGTTGGGTAATATAAGCTGGTGCAAATTGAAATATTCTATTTACTGGATTTGTTCCTGATATTGCGTTGCATTTCAGATACATGCGATGTTCAATGGTGATTGTTATTCTGGCGTCGTACGGGGCGTTCCAAAATATGTTACCAGTTTTTAAATCGATTAATTATTATTAGTTAGAAACATACTTTTGAAACGCCTTGTATATTGATAAAAATTGATTTTTGTATTGTGTGATCGTGTGATTTGACGTTTTTGTGTTGTATAAAAGAGGGCAATGTTTCTTTAGTATTGTTTATCGTTGTTTGAGTTGCAATTCGTCGTATTATACACTGTATAAGATTTCTCTTCAAGATGAAGAAAATCCTAAGAAGACCCTTGGGACCTGTTTCTTGTTGCTTAGTGGTGGAGTGGGACGTTAGAATGTTCGATAAAATGCTATTTTCCACGATTTCAATTTATGAAATGTATTATTCGGTCAAGTTCGGGGTTTTAATTCATCTGTGTGATCTACTAATACATCTGGTCGATCTAGTGTATAAATCTATCTATGTGGCTTATGCTCACAAATGTTATGGACCTGCTATTTCTTTTTTCCAGCGAGGCTCAGTCTTTGGTTCAGACGTCAATTCTTTGAATCAACCACTACAAAAAGGTAAGATTCAATTTTTTGAAGTGGCTTATGTACATTATTTTGACAAGGAAAATTAGGAATAGTTTCTGTGTTAAGGCGTTTCTTTCTTCTAAAAGATTTTGCTTGGCTCGTTACGAAATGATACCATGCCATTGAAAGTTACGTGAAGCATCACATAAGTCATTTTTTATAACTCCAAAAGATTCAAGATACCTGCGGCTGCAGCACACTGTCGTAAGACAAAACGTAACATAAATATATTTGTGTCATTGTAAATCTTGAATAATTTGGAATAGACATCATCCATTTTTACCTTAAATTATCCTTAGATTGTAGAAATACGATCCATCAGCGCAAAAGAATAGAACGGTGACAGTAGTTAGTCCCGCAAAAATCGATAGCATGAGTCAAGTTGTCTTCAAATATGACGCTACCGCATCAAATTTCCAAACCAAAATCCTGAATGCGCCCGGGTGATCTTGTTTCGTCGACACGTCGGTAATGACTCATTGTTATTTTTATCGTTACTTTCCCGCCAAGCCGATATGATGAGATTCCACGTTCCCGTCATTGTATTATTTTTCAACTCAGGATCTCCTCGGAAACGACGACAGGTTTTATCGAAGAAGCTTTCCGATTTGGTGCAATACACGAGATCAGTGGGTTTCCCGGGATTCAGCGACTTGTCAAAGGGTAAGAAGACAGTTTTCTTTGACATAAATGATACAGAGTTTCTGGCATATCATATTTAAATTCTGATTATGTGCCGTTGGAAATTTGCAGCTTGTACGTTCCCATTTACTTTCCAGACGATATGATGTATTCGTATATATTTTGTTGTAAAAGGTCATGAAGATCATGTGTAATTCGTTGTCATTGGTTTAAAGCAGCTGGTTGTAGTATTATAAAAACGCACCATCGCTAATGCGACCTCAAATAGAATATCTATCAATAACAAGCAAAGTTAATGTGACAGTCGCAGTACTACTGTGACTACCAGGACCGGGGAGCTGGTTGGAAATCACAAAGGCTACAGTATGTCCGACTTCATACCCATTGATGTTTTTTTGTTCGACCACCACCATAAAACATCAGCACAAATTTTAATATTATTCTGGAATTTATCTCGAAACTCATGTCTCCAGCTCCGGCTCCTCAGCCCTGAATTGACTACTACTATTACTACTACGATATTTGTTTAACTAGGCAGTTTTGATGTTTGGTCGTTCAGTGAAGCAAAAGCCTCCAGTGTTATTTCCAGCAAGCCCGCCGATATAGTTCGTTTGAATCAAGGAAGACTGATTCGAGTATATCCTTCATCATACCGCATAGATTCCAGTAACTTCAATCCCGTTCCCTATTGGTGCGCCGGATGTCAGTTGGGTGAGTGGTAAACTTAGTTTAAAGATAATATTAGCAACGTATTAAATATGTACTCAATATGCTTGGCGATATATTCTTATTGGTAGAAATAAAAATAATCAAAATGTTGGGAATCTTAAGGCTACATTTGGGATTTAGCTTAGCTATATGTCAGGACTGTCACATAATAAGAAGTAGATACACGCCGAGTTGCACAAAATATATTTTTGACTTGAATTGATGCAAATATATATTTTATTTGTGTTGGATGAACGTTTAATATTTCCTTTAATGCCACTTTCTCAAAAAATATTACACAAAAAACAGTTCATATAAAACCTCTATATGCTCAAAAATGTACACCATCTTCACAACTGGCTTTTTAATAGTTTTTTTATTCAAAACTATACATAAGGTAAGTAAGTAGTAAATGTTACACACTCAAATATGAATAAACAAATGCTCGAAGTTTGAGACATAACAGAGAAAAAAGCCCCAAAAGTCCAAACAATGACAATGTCATGTCACACACTCAAATATGAATACACAGATGTTTGAAGTTCGAGCCAAAACACAGAAAGAAGCACAAACGTCCTATGTACAATGACAATGCCCTGGAGCTGGAATAGCAGAATACCATGTAAATATTTTCCAGTACGACCGGTGATTCGCCCCTTCGAAATTAGCTGGCAAATGTTTTGCTATTGTAGAAAACAAACATATATTAAACACTCAACTGTAGGGCTAACGAATTGAACAAATTTAAATACCTATTATAATTACGGTATATTGCGTAATTACACGCACGTTGAAAATCAATTCGCAATTCAAGTCTATTCTTTGATTTTATTTCTACATTTTAATGAAGCTACGTGGTAGCAGTACAAGTATAAAGTACACGTATTTTAGCGTACAATGTATGTGGTGTCTCAATGTCATCAATAATATTAGAGCTGTGCCAAGTTTTCAGTGAAATACAGTGCAACACGGTTGCCTTATATGGGAGATCGGACACAATATATAAAATCAATGAGTATACGTTACTCTGACCGGTTACACCTTATTTAACATTAGGCCAGAAGCTGAAGTCGTCAGTTGGATTCAATATATATCGTGGCATATTTTCTTTGCCCAGCACCATTGCACGCGGTGAGATCCATTCAAGTGTTTATCATATATTTTGCTAAACATTTATGACGAAAGTATTGTGGTCTTTTTCTAATTACTTTATTTTGTCTTTGATGCTATGGGTTGTTTGCTTCTGGCATTTTACAGTGTAGAATCCGCATATATCTGTCAGTTTATATTCTCCATACTAATTTGGTGAGCAAAATTGATACCACATTAAAAAGCGTGTTCTTGACTACATTTGGAGTTCAATAATGGAGAAATGACACTGTAGTTGAGCCGTAGTTAAAATAACTCACGTCCAACTTCACTTCTTCGCAGAGGTCTTTGTAGACTTCATTGGCATACACGATGCACTTTTAATGTCGTGTGTTATATTACTGGTACTAGAATTGGTTGTATATAGAAACATTCGGTTGAGAACCGCTTTGGTATGTCTTAAGTGCCTCTGTATCTTCAATACTCCAGTATATCTCATGGTCGTCATCCACACCATCTATAGGGACTTCATACGCACTTTCCCGTGTGGGTCTAAGTAATGTTATAGAACGTGGATACCCGCTGGGTCTATGGACTGGTCGGTCCCTTAAAGTTGTGTCATACTCTTGATGTAAGGCACTCACAGTAGCACTTCTGTCCCGGTATGCTATTTTTGGAATCGGGCGCCATGGATTTTGCCCCAACCGCGCGGTTAAGGCTCGTCGGGCAGGACTTGGTTGAGTGCTATATCCTGGCTGTGGAACATTGTACTCATCACCGTCTGCAATATTTTTAGTATATTGTTGAAACAATGGAGAATAATTGCAAAATAATTAAAAATTTTAATCATTTATCATTAACATATAGGAAACCAATAGTTGCAGTGAAATATTGTTTGTTTAATAAAACTTTACGATGTTAATTTAAATTTATAGAAATTGCAAGAGCAGGTTAAATTGTTTCTTGATTGCATGAAAAGATGAATAATGATGTGGTGCGTAGGCGACAGTTTTGTGTAATAATATATATATAGCTTAATGATGACAAAATAGGACAATATCCAGTTATCGATTAAATGTGGTAGTGTCTTACAAAACACATATAACCACCATAGACAATTTGGTATTTATTAAAAATTTCCGAAGTTACTTACTGCTGTCGACGTAAGGAACGTAAAGACTATTTGGAATCGCTCCATCATATAGTTGTTGTTGATGATTGCTTATGCTTCCAGGGCGAGAAAATCCATTACTGGAAGGAAGTGGAGGTGGTATGATATGTGACACTTGGGAGTTGTTACTGGAAATTAAAATATTCCATTGTTAATATACTTTTGTTGTAGTAGGTCAATCGACAATAATTTAATGTTGCCTTTAGAGGAAATACATTTACTTCAAGAAGCTTAAATTGGCAACTGCACAAAATGTCTCGCCACTTTCATGCGATAATATGTTGTTTTGCATGTCGCGAAAGAACAATGTCTACATCGTTACTTTGGATACTAGTTCTAACAGCCGTGGTAATATATATTACCCATAAGAAAATTACTTCTTATCTTGTAATTTTGAATCCCACCCCACCTGGGTGGAAATAGTTCTTTACGTATCCTGATGGCTTGTTTAGACCCTTGTTTGGAGGGAATGCACAAAAAGTGTTTACAAAAGATAATATTAACGTTGATGGAATTAAAAAACCAAGATTAGAAAATAGCTGGCAATGAAGCAAAAGTATTTGAATTTGAATTATAAATCCAAATCTGTAAAAATATGTGCAATCCAAAACCCCGAAATATATATAATAAGCAATCCTATTTTACACAATTTTGTTCTTATCTATTGTGGCTTTGATTAGTAGATTTTCTTAATTGTCACTGTTTACTTGTTTTCAATCTTTTTGTTTCCACTTCTATCGTTATGTTGATTTTGTCTCATACAGCAGACGGCTATCAGCATTATTATTGCGAAGATTGCAACCGCTGCTGCCGCTCCAGCAACAATAAAAGTCTGTGTTGTTAAGTACGAATCTATTTCTTCTGCCTTTTCTTCCGCCGATGTTGTATCTGAAGCCGCTGTTTTATAATAAATATGAAAATTAAAATATAATCTGTGAAACTATTTACCGCACATTTGCATTACTTAGTAGAAGTCTTTTGTGGCCCCACCCTCTTTTTACATAGTTACTCCGACCACGATTGCCAATATAATATAATTGAGTTGACTTTTGACGAAGATTGATTGTAAATGCGTAGTGTAGGGATAAGATGGTGTTGTACCCCTACACCAAATTTTGTTATTATGAAACGTTTTTATTTATTATTTATAAAAGTTATGAATAAAACTACAATTATTGGGGGATATTAGTGCAGTAAAAATTATGAATCATGGTTTATTGGCAAAATAAAGACGTGTACGTAGTTAATTAAACTAAGCATATTGAAATTTCAGTTCTGAACTTTTGCCTTCTTTCTAAGTAGTACAATGAAATAAATTTGATACAAAGCATAAAGCTACGGTGAATGAAGAGTACAATAAATTAATTTTGATATTTACTTTTTATTTTTAATCTTCAACCAAAAAACCCTAAATTATTCCAAAGTATTCCTGAAAACGGGTGTAATAATATTGTACCAACTCAGGGCAATATGAGTCTCATTAAGAAGTTTCAAATTTCTTTCCTTTTATTTTGGTGGACCAAATGCATAAACATTTTTTGCGTCTGTTGCTTCCTAGATTTATATATACTCGTGCTAATTATGGTTACTATGAGCACTCATGAAACGATTCTTTTGATATCAATGATTTTGTATTCAAGGGGTTAACATTACCGAAAATTTCTAATTTCGTGTTACCTTTTGTACTAGTTGTTTCAATCGGTGCTACCGGCAGTGTCGTCGTTCGCGGTGAAGAATCTAAACTATTCTGAATTGTTGTCGTGGTCGTAGTGGATTTTCTGAAAAACAGATACAGGAATGTTGTTTTGAAATAGCTGTAGAGTGATTCATATCTACAATTTTATGATTTTGGTTCTTCTTTATGTGTTTTTCCCGGTACTGAATCACGTGTAACAAAGTTATATTCGTCTGTATATCTATAAACAAAGCACTGGCGCTTTAACGTTAAATACTACTTCTCAATGAAATCTTCTTTGTTCGTTTCTGGTACTGCCATTGATTTTTGGTAACTTTCGATAAATGTAATTTGTTAGCGAGAAACCGTGCTTGTGCAAATCGACTCTCAGTCGTGTGTAATAGCGCTAAGTAATTTCCATTGTGACGTGATTTCTTATTTGCATATATATTGACATTATGTCTTATTACAAATTTTAATAATTATAATTCTAAAAAAATATTGTGTACTTTTAGGACAGTGAGGGTACAATCTGCCAACAATTTTTCTGTAAGTTAGGTTACCTATGTGCTGAATATTGTTTTTTTAGGCACACTGTGCATATTTATAAGAAAGCTTATCTGAGAGTCAATTTTTATGATATATCCATTATTAAAACGAATATTTCATGTGATCAATTTTCTAAGATCAGTCCAAATTAATCGAGTCTGAGATCAATATTTGTCTGGTAATCACGATTCCAATGGATTTCTCATTTTTCATGTCTTAATAACGCACGGTTTGTTCATCATATGCTCTAACATTTCGGCACTATGTTACGTATACGACTTGATCAATATCCATAAAAATAAGTAAATTGGTAATCAGGTCATATGCGTATATAATTCTGATTGATGTACTTATAATACCTTTATAAGTTACCTAAATAGTTATCAGGCGTACATATAGGTCAATCTAGTTTTAGAGTTCCATACAGTAGAAAATATAACTTGAATATGACGTAAAAATATCCAGATTTGACAAGGGTATACAGTATTCTTCATACTCAACAATAGGCGAATACTGATATTGGGATACTTTTACGTTTGGAAATGATGAAAAATCTGAATTTAGTGTTTAATTTTTCGGAATTTCATTATGTATTCTTTCCTACTATCTTATAATTACACATTAACTCCAAATATAGTTCGTTGGACAGTATTCACAGTACACCAAATCTGTTTAAATGCTACTTTTTCAAGAAAATCAAGCATTATTGAAAATACAAAACAGGAAAACCTAGTTTACTCTTTTTGTCAACAAGCTAACGAACGCAATATTTGTTACTCAGTTACTGATAGAGAAATCAATGGAAGGCTTTGAACTCCTTGGGAAATTGCGCAAATCAAAAATAAAATAAATGTTTCAAATTAAAGTCGCAATTTGACAACAGATCTACCAATTTACTGCACGCGCTATAGGGTTGGAATACGCCGGTCTACTTTGTGAATGTAAACTGTTTCGTCAGAAACTGTAAATCAACAGAATTTGAATAAATGATTTTGATTGATAGGTGTTGCTGTCAAACTTATATTTTTCCTGATTATACTTACTCTGTTAGTCGTGGGCAATCTCGAATACCACATGCAATTGTTCTGTTTTGTTCAAAGTGCCCATCACTCCCCGGACAATGTATAGAGAGATCTTTGTTCTCAACAGTACGGTCCTTGATAAAAACAGATATCACTGATCAAAAATAAAATATTTACAAACATAGATCACGATTTTTTAATGTCCAGACGTTCCAATGGTGAGCGAAGATTCTGCATATCACGTATATTAACGATTCGGGGAATTTCAATGTTGCGACCATCTCACTGTCTTTTTGCATAATATACGCCGTAGCTTTGAACTTATCGATTGATATCATATTCCCATGCACGTTTGGAAAGTTTGTTCAGATTAAACAATATTCTGCATTTCCTTACAGTTATAGGTAGGTGGATGAATTGTGGATTGATGATAACTTTGTTTCATTGACTTGACACATCTTTAAACGTTAATCACTTTGTTTTTGTTTTTTTCTGGGAAACAGCCTTTTACAAAATCTCTGACATCAGCCCGCAATACAAAGTTGGCTTTATTTGTTGAATTTATTCTAGTCGAAGTGTGAAATTTTTTTTGTATATATGAGTAGGGAACTTACTTGACTCCGTTTGTTGCAATATCTTGTTTGAACCTTTTTCCTCGAAACGCAATTACATGGGCTGTCATTTGTCCACTGACCCCAGAATCCTTCACATATTCTTCCCTGTGTAAGACATCTCCGAGATTCAGTACACATTTCGGATCTTGCGTTCAATTTGCGTATTTCCGGAGTTTCTGGCGCACCGTCAATGTTCTTGTATTGACATTTTAGCATACGCCTTTGTATACCACTGTAGCACCCTACTTCTATTGTTTCATGTTGTGCCCAATCTTCGCATGCTGACCACGAGCTCATGACAGTGAATGTGAAAGCTTTTCCCGGTGGTGTGTTTTCTTCGCATTTGCATGATGAGTCAATAACTGATTCTGTAAAAACCGCGGATTGTAGAAATTAGTTCTGGACATCAGTACCTGGTTGTATTATGTTACATAAGATATGGGATATTGGGTATAAGCGGTAGTCAACGTTGAAAACCTTTTTTTTTTGCTACGAATCACTCTTGGTCCATTCGGAATTTTTGTAGGTATTGCATCAAGCTTACACGTAAATAGTTTGCAGCCAATTTGGCTTTGTATACAACAATACCGATATTAAAATATCATTTATCTTACGTATACCATACATTTATCCAGCCGATTTTGAATGAGCGCCAATCGTTTTGTTGTATGTTATTCAACCAACGATCAATTTATTATACATAAAAACTATACCAAAGAGAAAATAAGAAAGAATGTCGTAGAAAGTTATTTTTTGTCGCACACAACAAATTATGATGTACATTTTGACGAAGCTTATTAGATAAAAACTGTATTATATAAATTTTAAATTTACAATGTAATGTTTCATTTATTTTATTTGTTATGAATTTGAACACGTTATAACTTTTCTTACCAGCAAGTGATGAAATAAGACTCCAGTAGAACACTGCAATAAAGATACACCAAACGTTATTCCGAGTTTTCTCCATTCTATATCCAACCTGATAGTAGTTTGTCGACAGTTTCACAGCCTTAGGTCTGAAGCTAAAGTGTCTTTGAGATTAGAAAAATTTACTCTAAAACCAAACCTGAATGAAATTTAGATCATGTTATATATATATAGACTGTAGTCCAAGTTCGACTTTGCCATCAATACCGAGTTACGTTTCGAAAGCAAATATTATTTAAAACAACTGGGCCATCTATGACCATTCGTAATAGCGCATATTAACATATCTAAAAGTAGTTCGCCTATATACATATGCCATTAACTGCCTTTTATAATTGTTAGAAAATTTGGATAAATGATTTTTATACGGTTCTAGTACCAGACAAAAGCGATTTTCAAATCCGGTTTTGAATGATCTGGACGTTATTAAGCTCATTTCTTGTTACATCAAAATTAACATGATTTATTTCTATTATTGCTTTTGTCGCCTAATCAATGTATTACAAGAAATAAATATATAATCATTTGGTTAAAGTCTTTGAAAATCATTTTGACAATTTAGGACTGAAGTCTTTTTTTCAAGTTTACCATATTAGTCAATGTGTTTGAGCATTCTTATTCAACAATTTTATTTTAAACTGTCCTGTCTCGTTACCTTGCTTTTACCGTGTACGTGTACGTATTCATTATTTTATATTGGAAATGATATATTCATTTGCTATCTATTTATATTACCAAAAATGCTAATATATAAGCCGTTTTAGGCGACTGCGGCTGTTTTAGACAATAGATTACTCCGTGCTAAAGTAGCATATCTTTACCAATTTCCGTCCCGTACTAATTTGTGGAACCCGCTGATTTCACTTTTCTCATATTCGAATCGATTGCATGATCATGCCCTTTTCTGTTACAACTTTCATCAAATCCCATCTGTTCTGAGAAATCACGGGTTACTTCATAGGTGATGTTCCTTCGTAACACCAAAAACTTTTGGTGAAGAAATAAAAATGATTTCATGAGAATATACCAATTTTAATGTGAATTTATTTCCCATCACCCTCACACATTCACCACTTTTACTGATTTTGTCGACAACGAACTGAGATCTAATATATATCACACAATGCCAAATATACAGTCCAAGTACGTAACTTTCTGTCTTCTGCAATGATAAGCTCTCTTTCTTAGAGTTCTTGAAAGAAAACCGTTTTGATTTCTTTTACCCTTTAAATATCGCGGTTTGACAGTCCTGACAAGTTTCTCTTGGAACATCTTCAAGTCTGTCGTCTCACTTAGACTGTTGTCGAGGAAGTTTCAAAATTCTCTCACGAAGAAATTTCCCGCATTTCGGGCAGTTCATTTGATTTAAAATTATCCTAGACAATATATCTTTATTGCGCATTTTCACTTTTGGTTACGGACGAAGTCGCTTGATTCGTATCGATTATATACCATATTATTAAATGGTAAAATAATAAAAAAATGCTGTTTAAATAGGATATGAAATTACTGGAAATTTTCAGTAAATTTTGAGGTAATTAAGGTGTTTCACGCACATATGTGTGATAAATGTTCCATAAAACCTTTAAGTTTTAGGTAAAACGATATTTTCTTTCGTCGCAATAATCAAACTCTATGCAACTCATGGAACGTCTTTTCATCTGTGATGTATCCCGCTTTTAAATGATGAGTAATCGATTATCCTTTGAGAAATCCTACTTTTAATGAATGCATGAATGCATGAACCTTCCGTGTCACCATACAACGTTTTCGTAAATATCAAGTCAATGTATGTTATAATAAACAGAATGTGTAAAACTCTGATATGACACTAGATCAACCTTTGTTAACATTTAACATTGTTGACAATGCATGACCATTTCTGTTTACCATTCAACATGTCTGCAAAAATGACTTTAAAGGTGAATTCTAAATTCGCAGTACTATATTACTGTACTAACATATCATGCCGTGTGGCTTGTTCAGAAAAAGTCCACAATACACTTTTTGAATTTCTAACAAAATTTTGGTGGCATTTAACCACTTTATTACATTGATGCATATATGGTAAATTGGTAAACTACAAATGATGTCGGTTTCGTTAGTCTTAATAGATATATGCTCTAGTAAGATAAAGTAAACCCATTTTAATAAATTTTGTGCCACCATAACAAGTGTATTGTATAACGCGTTTGAACCTGACCTATTACCTCACAAATTGTGCAATTCTTGCTTCTATTTTAAGACATGCTGCAAATTATCGAAACGCCGTTTTTCAAGTTGACATTTGTCAAACCTGTCACAGAAAATCTGACTTCAAGAAAACATCTGTCAAAGTATTTGATCAAGTACAGGTTTAAATCATCTTCTTGACATGTAGAATGAGACAAAAGATTTACGCCCGGTGTTCGAAATACTCATAAATCATAACACATTTTATTAATTAGATTACAGTTTATCGGCTCTACTGTCAAAAATAGGAATCTAAATTGCTTTAAAAATATATATTTCTAAATTTTCAGGTTCCAAAACTATTCTTTCGCATTCACCTGAAGCATAAAATTTGTATAACATAATGCTGTTTCTGTATTTCATGTGACTGCAACACTAAATCTCCTTTCCGCTTTTGTCTATCAATAAAGAGAAAACTAATAAATATCATGAGCCACCCTTCCTGGTATATTGCTTTAGGGTTTCATAATGAAGCCTAATTATAGCCGATTTCAGACACGTCCTTCCTGTGCCCACTGACGTTATTGGCAGAGTTCATGCAGCTATTCTGCGAATGATGGCTTATATTATAAATCTGAGTAAAAGAACTTATGTGAAATGTGCAATGTTTAATTTTATGTTGTTTATGGATCTCATCCAATCTTATTTTTATTTGTGGACACCTGCTGAATAAACAATCATGATTACTGATACAATTTTAACACAGATAAAATTACACAGCAAAACAGAGGGTAAAGTTTCAAGTTTTCTATTCTTTGTATAACCGTTTCTCCGTGTCTGAGCGCGACACCTCCTTCTTTTTATCATCATGTTAGTACTAATAATGCAATACTAATAATACTAGTAATAATTAGTAATTATGTAAGTATAATCTATATAATTTTCCTTCGAATATCTTTGCCAAAGACGCAGGCGACGACATATTCTCACCTTAACGATTTGACGCATCAGCTACAACTTGCACTTTTCTTGTGATGTACTTTTCTCAATTATAATCTAGTTCGGGATCAAACCGAATTCTTTCATCGAATTCGTGACCCGTATTCATCAGTTTTTGCCAAACCAAATGTCAAAGCACGACACGTACGCATATTACGTCAAATATCGTCGCACATCTTCTATCAATAACAGATTTGCATCTTTGAATGGAGCATTACGTTACAATTTGCCTTTTATTTTAGCTTTTGATATTTCTTTACGTAATCCTTCATTTTACCTGTCACGCCGAAGCCTCGGATTGGGGAGGTGGATATTTGTAAAACTATTTTGATATATATATATATTGTTACTCGCAATTCATCGTTGTTCAATTTAACACTCTAGCACTGAATTTTTCTCCCAGTATGAGTTGGTATTAACTTCTGTCATGCATATTTCCCTCATAAGAAATGAATAAGGAAATCAAAACATCATATAATTTTAAATTAACACTTCCTGGCCAATAACATACCTAATTGGTGTCTAAATATTGCTTTTTGGCAATCACCGTCACAACACAAATGGCATTCGGCCTCAGAAAATGCGATTGTTGTTTATCAACCAAGATTCTATGAAGTTTGATGACAGCAACAATATCTGTTGCTTGCATGTCAACCATAGTGTGTCAAGCTAGCTTTTCGTCAAAGTCATTGATCTGGGAAAAAATGCTAGTTCAGCTGTAATAAAAATTGAAGCATAAAATTGTAAATGGCTTTCGCTTCAATGCTTTATCACAATATTCTCGATATATATTTTCATATGGGTTGAATGAGTTTCACTGTCCTATTGATTAAATATATGTAAAATTGGCTTCATTTCATCAATCATTTAGCTTTATATAATGACTGCAGGATTGTAGAAAAATGATTTCGCACTAATTTGTTAATTTGTCTGGTTTGATACATAAAACAATCAACGTACGAAAGTGTGTCTCAGCCAAAAATGTTAACAAATGACCAGTTATAGGCGTATTTAATTGGAAGCTAAAGAATATATTCCTCAATTCGAGATGATATACAGTAAAACGCATGTACATTTTATGTATTGTTTTGAAGTGTATCAGTTGATGATCATTGGTGTTATGCATATCAAGTTTGATCGGGGTTATAAAACTCAAAACAGTGGAGCGTTCCTCCTCTATTGAGATATAGTAGTTTCAAGCATGATTTGTATTTAATAATCTAATCTGCGTCTAAAATTGAATTGATTAGGAAAGCAAATCCTTGACGTTTTGCATATTTGAATCGTCAAGAATATTCCCGGACATACAACGTGATCTTCCCCACCATGCGTAGATCGATCAGCAGATTAAAATTTTGCTTCAATTTGATACTATGGTTCTTGAAATTGATTGTTAAAACCTTTGAAAATACCTCAACGTTTACATTTGTTCAGTCTCAATTCCCAACCAATCAAGCGCACTATAGAATTTTTTTTATCGATTTGAACACTGTTTATGTAACACAGTGGCATAGCATTTCGATTTTTAACGAAATAGTTCACGATATTGGTAAAACCCAAATGTAAGGTTTAGTCATGATATGATTCAGCACTTTTATCGGCTTTCATGCTTTTACTTCGAATAGGCTCACTGAAATGTAAGAAGCTGCAATTTTTGGTAGGGAACTTTTTTAGAAGTTTTCTGGTTCACCATCGCCTACCCAACGTAAGGTTCGCCGCAGCGACGTAATCCATTTAACCTGCGATGTCAACATAGGCAAGCCCAGCGCCTTTACTGTTAGACTATCCCGTCGCGCACATCCGCTGTTTATCACATATGAACCTTTAAAATGGATATATGATTTTGCACCACTACCACGTAACCACGCGACAGGACAATCGGATTCTTGTTCTGATGCTAACAGCCCTGTGCCATTGATTACAGTACACGATAGACCTGTGATAGTTGTTCGCCATCCTACCGACAGATGTCGCTACTGAACTGATGCTTGCGATGATATTCTATTTAGGACACACGCGAGGTCGCTGAAGCGCATGTTTATTCATGTTTTCTCCTTTCTGTCTCTTTCCCAATTCAGAATGCAACATTGCCAATTGTATATAAATTTATAGATGTAGCCTATGACCAATGTTCCCTCTAAATTTTTGCAGTAAGTTTTCGCAGAAATTTTGGTGTGTAAGCACTTTTTTTTAATATTTGTGCAAAAGACAAAGAAATTTTGGCATTCTAACCGGGTAATGGGTGGGCCAACAACAAACTTTCTTACAACCTGCCAACCGAGAACATTGTTACATTACATCGAAATACGTCTGTGCGCAGTAAATCTATGCTTGTGCGCGCACACGCGCACACTTTAGACTTTAGAGGGAACACTGCCTATGACGCTTTTATTTGATTAGCGCGATTTGTAGAAGGCATCTTCCTTTATTTACAAAAAAACAATATAGACTTTAAAAATTTTAATGCATCAAACTTCTTACAAAATTACACTTTCATCTCCCAATGTGAGTCGGAAACGTTGGCTTCATCATTCGATTGCTTGATAACTAAATTTTCACTATGAATTCTTTAGTTTTTGCAATTTGTTTATCTTGAAGAAAAATATACTCCAGCTTCCGACTTCCGAAATTTTTCAATCTCCGTCTTCCCAACTCTACTTGCTGAAAGTGCATCTTGTATATACTCACCAATTTCACACCTTAAAGCTCGTCCTATATGTATGTTTTAGGGTTCCATTACATTTGAACCCACGTACATTTGAACCCATGACAATTGCACCTGCATACTATTGCACCTATGGAAATTTTTTTGTTTTACGGATAGTTGAACCCATACTGACCCTAACCCATGGGTTTTAGCACCCGCATATAGATTGAACCCGCGGATATACACATGGGTTCAAATGTACCTGGGTTCAAATGTACGGTCACCATGTTTTAGAAGTTCAAACAGTATGACACATGATGATACTTGGCACGGATGGTAAACCCACCTACTACAAGCTGATTCGGCATTGTAGTGGCACAACCAGCTGTATAAAGGTCCCCCCAGCCCATAGCCGACCCACTCTTCTGCTATCTGAGCGATTACATAGAAGAAGGTCAGTTATATAAAAATGTCCCAAAGAGAAGTGACATACTTGACTGAAAGAGACAAAGTGACCACCACACACAGTCTTGATATAATCCTATTCTCCCCTTAATTAGAAAAAGAAAATTACACTAACTTTGATTTCGCATAATTTAGATGATACAAAAAAGGTGTGGCATTCCACACGTTTATTTGTCAACTCTAGATTATACCTGATAAACCAATATTATAGGTGGACGAATCCAAAATCGCCATCGCTGTCTAAGTTCGTGACTAAGAAAGTATCAACCGGATGTGGTTATTTTGACCAACGTTATTTTATATTTATATGATCATGTCCTATTTAATGTTACTGCAACATATAAAGTGCAAAAGTCCTGTTTCCTTACAGATTTCTTCCAAAATAAGTCTATTTATATTTAGGTATCAGCATAGCCAGACATAGCGTAATAATGATTAATGGTTTATGTCAAAACATGCAACTATAATTTATGTATTTTTTTTATTTCTATCGTCCGTTCGTACTGCTTTTCGTGATATATTTTGCTTTTAATAAAAACACTGTGAGAATAAATAAGAAAAAGTTATTGCGGTTATCATGTGATTCAATGTAATATCTTTTGTAAATCGTAATCAAATTTTGTGACATCGCTCCATCTAATAACAAAGTTCGACTAATTTTCTCACTATAAACGACTAGTATAACGCTCTTCAAAACGGACATCCCCGAAACCCGCTGATAACCATCTTGAGTTTCCATGCACTTGTACAATTTTTCAGACATGGTATTGGGTTAAAGGTTGCAGACTGGCATTTAAGATCTATTGAATATAGTAACTGTGAGGCATCTACATTAATTTGCCTATATTATCACAACACAAGTTGACAGTTAAAATAACGTACATATTTAGGTTCATTCGGGTACGCTTTTCGGCTTCATGTAGTTCTCTCGAATAGATACATATACTACTTGATAAATTCCTCCATTTCGTAATAATATTCTGTAAAATATGTAGAATAACCCAGTAATTATCCATTGAATGATGTGTAACTATCAGGAGATACATCACCATCTCATTCTTGGTTATACACGAGTCTAACTCGGATTATTACTAAACTATAGAACGTTGATTGAAATCAACGATATCATGATAAATAACAAAAAGGGGTTTTTGTTACAAAGAAAGTGTTCACGGGATGTCCCCAACTCAAAAAAGTTGTTTCAATTTTCCTTTATTCCATGTTTAGTCCACACAAAAACATGTTTGTTGTATCTTTTATTAGAAATTAGTCATAAAATTCATAATTTATTATATCAAAAATTTGCAATAAAGATGATTGAGGCATATACACAATGTTTAAAAGTATGTAAACAGAAAGGACAAGTTGAACAATTCAATAAAAAAATATGTGAACTTTCACTCCTGCGATGTTCAATATGATCAGGGAAGCATTAGTTAGAAGATTTTTGTGCTGTCATTTTTCTGCATTTAGTTTGGCAGCTTTAGGTTTCGATTAAAAAATAAGGGTGGCTCAAACAGAAATAGGTACCGGGGGAAATCCACAACAAATCACCTGCCAGTGTCACGTAGTTTTGATAAAACTGAAATCAAAAATAACAAATGCAAGCCAAACGACGTCATCACGATACCTGCAACGAAACTCGCTGCGTTTTCGTGGTGTATAATTGTTGTGAACCCCATTATGATTTCGCTATAATGAACCACGATTTTTCCCTTTTTCGATCCATGAAATTTTGTGCTATTTTCTGTAAAAACAGAAACTTAACAACAAAACTTAATCAATACTTATTGAAAACTAGAAATTAGTATTCAACATCAAAAATATAGAATCGAAAAATAAATATTAATCGAGTTTTTAATCTAAAGTAGTATTGAAAATTACTATTGAATACATTCGAGAAATATGACTCTGTAGCGAAAATCGGAATACCCACTGATATTTTGAAACATTTCATTCCCTCAAATGCAATAATGCGGAACGTTTTTCAAATGAGAGTGTTGGGGGAACATCAACTTTTTAGTATTTCCATACTGTACCCAGGTCTATCGGCAGTCTTGCAAAAAATTTCATCCAAGAGTAATATATCGCGATTTCATTTTATGTGTACTTAGATGCGAATCTACAGCACAATTCAGTCATATATTATGAATTTTACTATTTCAAACTGCTTAGGTACGACTATGTGTTGCTATATTATGGAATCGTTCACTTCATCTGGAAATATATTATGGCATTTACGTCATTAGGCGTGAGCAGCTTGCATAATTTACTGAGAAATGCCATGACAGTTTTGGGTGTCATATTCGTGCAGATACAAAATATCACGAATGTAATTATATTGCTTAAATTAATTATGCCAAATGGTTTACGTGCACGTTTTTTGATGCTTAAATTACGATTTATACGGATCGAATGAAATAGAACGTTATGACGAATATTGTGATCTCTTATAATCGATTGTCACGTTAATATCTACTTTCAATTTGCTTTATGCAATGCATTTCCGTTATCATTGACGTTTCAATTATTAGTTGGTCCGGTTCCACAATATGCTATATTAAATATATCAATTTGCTACATTTCGGTTTGTGTTATCTCGTCAAAATCTTCAAAGATTAATGATATTCTCGAACTATTTACCAATGAATTCATTCCAATTTCCGGTCATATTCTATTGCAAATTCACACGCATATTTCCATTATCCACTTTCAGGCAAATTACTCAGTTCGTCGACCAGTTTTCGTAATGTTTCGATTTAGCAAAATCTATGGCCACAAACCGGTATTTCATTTTTCTCTTTCCTTTTTACCCCGCAGTGTGAGAAAATGCTGAGATATATCAGTGTGAGGAAATGCTCAAATATCCACCATCTCGACACATACCTTCATATTTTCATCAAAGATCTTCGGACTCTAGTGCAGAAACTGAATCTAAAAAAAACAAACTATGTCAGTTTCTTAAAATTTCCCGCGCTATATTCGTTGGGAAATGTCCTGGATAACTACCTATTTTTTCTATCTCTATATAGTCACAATGGCCAGGCTTGAAAAAATACTTGTTATACCCGCGGAATATGCGGATTAAGCAACGCCTGCCTGTGCTATCACATGGGTATAATATGGTATTAGTATTCCATGATAAAAATATCAGCTCACCTATTCTGTCCATGTAATTTTCATTGCCTTTTTTCTTTAACTTGATGCTCAAAATCGGATTGTTGTGGTTATTTGTAAAATTGACTGGCTTCCGAAATTTTTGTCTGCTCGAGTTTTCGTAAGGAGATGTAAGTTGTTTTGTCTCATCATCTGAATTATTGTTTTCGGGGTCACCGGACCCCGGATATATAATCTGTTCCTCGCCATCAGGCAATGAGCGCTTCTTTTTCATGATTTGAAATTCCTGTACGTAATCATCTTCTAAAGACGTTGAACGACTTTTTGGTGGGCTTTCCGTTAAATTGTCTATATGATTATATGTATCCACGGTGGTATGTTCAGCTATATTTAATCTTTGATATTCGCTTTCTTGCTTATTTTCATTTTCAATTTCCTCATTTTCGTCGAATGAATCAGATTTCTGCGATTTGGGTAGTGGTGAAAGTTTCTTTTCTTCGCTGAAAGAACCGTTCGCTCTTGAATCAACTCGATTTAAGCGTTGGTAGTCCCCTTCTTCTTGTACCTTTTTCTCGTCTCTAAGAAGGTCGTAAACGTCTCCAACTTGGCCTTTCTTCTCTTCACGCAGTGTATTATAAACGTTTTGATCAAACTGGCCATTTTTTCGTTCAGCTCCTGAAGCAGCCACAGTTTGCGCTCGAACCCGCTCCCTTTCATCTTGTGTGATGTTGGCCATATCCGACGCTACTTTGTCGTATTCAACTTCTCCTGTTGGGCCCATAAAATTTTGTGGCAACGAGTCTGAGCGTCGCTTTTGATTTATTGCCTCGAAGTTTCGCTCTGGGAGTTGTGGCCTCACGGTTGTTGCTGACCACGTTCCAGTGCTTACGACTTTAGGTGATTGGGTATTATTCGTGTTACTGAGTGAGTTCCCTTTGTAGTAACCTCCCGCATGGCCATTTGGAATGTATTGGATAGTATTTTCGTTTCTATGCTTGTTTTTACGTCCCGTTCCAACGATCAGCACTTCATCTTGTCCTCGGCCCCTTGATGATCTAGATTTTGGTGGCGTGGTCATCGTATCCAACACTATGTAGTCTGTGTTGGGATCCCTTTGTAAGGGTGTCATGTATCCTATAATAGAATTCTATGTGTGAGATCCAATCGAATCTGCTAACCTAAAACCGTTCAATTTTACTGGATTTACATTACCACGTTTTTCTCGGCATTTGGAATATAAGATCCCTAATTATTTGATTTTCTAATTCCCAATTGTATCGATCCGGTAGTATAAAAAAATTACTTTTGATTTTTGTTGCCAACTTTCATAAATCTGTCTGCCTGAGATGTAGGTTGGCTTACATTTTTAGATATTTGACACGGAGAAAAAACAAATATATCTAATTTATATAGAGAGAACAGTTTACCACATTCTACTCAATTGGCAACAGCTGAATAGTTTTGCTGTGTCATTACAATTTTGAAATACTGTAAAACGATTTTTGAAGGGACGCGCCAAAAATTCGAATTGCTAACATACTCGCAAATGTTGTACAACACATGATTCTAACATGAAGATTTTATGACAAAGACCAAAATAATCAAATCAATCTTCTACCTGATCCCAGTAGCTCGGGCCCCTCGTAATAGTCGTCTGGCGGCGGTATACTTTTCACAACTTTACTAATAACTTCCATAGCAGATTTTTCTTGTCGCTTCTCGTTTGATATTCCTGTCAAAACTGCGCCATTCAATGTTGTGCTGGTTGCAGGAGAACCTGTTGACGCATTCTTCAGGTTTTTTCTGTGTTAATAAATTTGTAAATAAAACAATAAATAAGCTTCTAAATTCATTTGAAAACCATTTATTTAATGCAAATATAGGAGGACATATTCCGCTAGCAACTCTTCATCGAATAAAGTGGGTGATTACTTCAATTTAAATATTTTGCTCTTTCAACGGGATGCTGTTACTTACTTAATGTTAATTTAATATATATATTACCATGATTACTTCAGTCATAGCAAGGTTTTTAAGAGATTTTGTAATTTGATGCTCTTCCTATTTCCTCTCACCCCGAATATTGGATTAAATTTTTTATCAACAAGCAGAGAGTTAATATGAATTAATTATTTTTGAAATGAGTGTAAAAAAGAACTTATTAATTATTTCCCTTCAAATAAAAAAAAAACGTTTGTTCACCTTCGACGTCGTTTCTTCATAATTTTATAAAGCATGATCCCCAATATTAGTAAGAGCAGAACAAAACAGAGTATGGTTACAACCAAAAGAAGCATGTCATCCCATGCCTTGGTTTTAGTGGGATCCCCCGTCACTTTTCCAGTTCCTGGGGTATTGTTCACTTTCGTTGACGTAGTTGTGGTAGAGAGAGAGGGTGATAGCCTTGTGGTCGATGAAGTGGTTGGGGACAATGTTGTTGTTACCACTGAACTTTCTTTCGATACCGTATTAGGTGTAATAGCTCTGTCGTTTAGAGTCATTGTTGACCTGGTGTCCACTACTGATACAGGTTGTATTGTTGTTGTTGTAGACTTTGTAGCCGGAATTTGATATGGTCTTTGTTGACAGCATGGTACATTGAACACCACTACGGACTTATCCGAATTTGCTGCAATACAATTAAATATGAGCATCAAAAGGTTTTTGAAATATGCTTCCCGCTTTGAATTTCGGCCCGCACTAAATTGTTTTACTTCATCGTATTTTCATAAATTTGCGTATTGGTATTCGGTAGAATAAGGCGGATTTATTTTTAGGTAGAACTTATCAAATAAGACTGTTCACGAGTTCCGATAAATACTTTTTCGTGTTGTATATTATTTTGAATCCCACTAATGTAATATATACAATCTTCTCTGTTCGTGCCAAATTTTAACATGGTGTTCAACCTAACGTGAAAATTTCTTTTCTGTTCGTGCCAATTTATTACAAAGTCCAATCTAGTGTAAAAATTTAGACTGTGTGAGCACACTGAAGACGGAAATTTCAATCATTTGGAAATAATTCTAATGCGTCTTACGTGGGTTTGCTGAAACCAATTCATTTACTTCTGTTTCGCTTGTAATGCAAGTAGTTTCGCTGGTGAGAAAATTAATGGTTAGTTGTACATATTCCGTTCCAAGATTCCCATCGCTTTCACGGGATTTGCATCTGTGCATACATTGTGAGATGATGGCCCCACAAATATTCGGACCTGTTCCATCGGGTTTCGGTCTTTCGCCATCGAAAGTGATTCCATAAGAGCATTGCAGTGATGTTACAATCACGGTCGCTATTATAATTGGAAATCTTATTTCCATATTGTAATTAATATTATTATATAACTGTTATAACTGTTTATAAATAAATAGAAATCAGTTGGCATCGAAACTTTCAAGTTTCAGTTGTTTACTCTATATATAGATATAGAAACTAGAACACAATTAGTGTTACAAATGATAAATAAGAGCTTGCAAAATTGTCACCAGCCACGTGTGATGGATTCGATATGTATGGATAATTCTCGGAATTACTAAGAAAATCAATTTTTTTTTGCGCAAACGCTAAACGCAAAATCCCAAGGATATTAAAGCCGGTTGGTGTCGCCTAATCAGAGCTTGACTTTATAATTTTTGCAAAATATTTTCGTTCACAGTTTTACTGCTCTTGACATTCTTTCTTTTGTACAAAATGCATTTCTACGTACATGATAAATTTATCAACTGATTGACGTAATTTTAAATACAAAATATATATAAAATTTTTTCCTATGTAACCATCCGGAGCGCGTCCAATATAAAATAAATTCCCCGTGGTGACAACGAAGTTGAGTTCCATTTCAACAATCACGATTTTTTACAAATAAGTAAATCGATACATTTCACTCAGGATGTTATCTTGAGCAAACAACCACATATTGATATTTAAAGATAGTACCAACAACGCATATACCCAAGTTAATAGCTGCTAGATAACTAAGATGTAAGCTATTAGCTTCATATGAAGCGTTGATGAGTAAGAAATAGAATCGATATAGAGTCTGACAAAATTATAACGCGAGGCAACTTACCTAAACGCAGGGATATACTATCAAGTGGAAAACTTACAAATCTCTCTTGTGTCATTCTGGCTATGCCAATCAATCTATCTATTCCTATATCGTTCCTATATCTGAAATGACGCCGATGAGTTTGAAAGCCACACTTGGTCTGTGTTCTTCGTCAGATCAATTCACTGATATAAATCAAAGAGTGGTCTGTATTGCCAAATTTGACTATAGAAATGCCAAGTCATTGCGTATTCGTGATAGTGTCATGAAAAGTTCATTGAAAATGAAATAGAAACATATATGTTAAATTTGATGAGTATCGTGATGAAATTTGCTTCCAAAATATCAACTCACTTTAATACTAATATCGGATTCAATAATCGGAACAAACAAAAACCTTGCTTAAAAAGATTCGTTTTATTGTGAAGGGTATTTTGAAATTTCAAATTACTTTGCTCCGATTATTACAACGTATTTCAAGTTAGTTTCACGTAATCAAGTTTATTCAGAGTAGTGCCATACATTCTCGAAAGCCCCGACGAAAGATGATGCTTGGTACAGCATGATTTGTTTTCCTTCCATGAAAAATATTCATTATCAGTGGCAAATCGTAACCAATTAACATTTTTGTAATTGTAATGCTTTCAAATGTAAAATGTTGGTCAATCAGTTCTCGTTTCGAATGCATACCATACTGGTCAATTGTTGTTTTCATTTTTATGTTGTGGTCTTATTAACTTGCTTGTTGAAGTACCATATGACGGATATCGAATAACTTTCAAAATTCACTATTTTAAAATCTACTTTCTTGCTGCCCATTCTTCCTCGCCGTTAAGTTTTACCTCACTGATGAGTGATAAGTGTACACCTCCTCTGTATTATTTCACTTTCTACTTTTCAAACTATAGGTAAAGTTCTGCGTCAAATCTTGTTTCACGATCTTATTTTGTTAGCCTTTTATCAGAGAAACTCCACAGATCATTGTCAGGATTGTATGACAATGAGTCGCCCCAAATAAGCCATCTATGAGTATCTCTAACTTTGTTTCTAATTTTGATTCTTCGTTTTTTAATAGATTCTCATGACCTTGCTTTGAAAAAAGATATAGTTATGAAACAAATGGGGCCACTTTTTTGTATAAATGTTTTGTCAAAGAAGTGAACACATATACTGCGAATGACGTACAGTATTTCCTCTCGATTACTGCCAATCATTTTTGTTCAATATCATCTTTTATATTAAACAATTTGGAAAATGTAGTCAAATTTAATGGAATTATGTGAACAATCAATTTATTTTCTCAAATTTTCATCTTCTCTCCAACTCTTAACATCCACAGAAAAAAAAATAATACAGATCATGTAATTTCAGTTATCATTACAGAATCTTTTCTTTGCAGCACTCATTTTTAATTTACCAAGAAATTGCAGTAAAATTAGCGCATATTTTAAAGAGATTTTTCGAGGGAAGTTGACTAAACTGGTGCGTCACCTTGCACATAAGTTTCGAAAGTTGATGGTGGTAGGGTAAACGTACATCCATGCATTCAATTGAAAGTTCCAGTCATCGTCTCGTGATATGAATCATTTTTGCATCCTGGTCATACAAAATGCTAATGATAATATGACGATATTACGTAAAATTAAATAGTCCTAAACATTTAATCGTCATTTCCGTTAATTTATTCAAAACTAAATCTGAACTCAAAACATTCCGAAATGAAACTCTCAAATAATCACTCATCTACCCTTGCAATATACATCGTTCAACTCAAATATGTTAAACGCAGTTAGTTTTATAGCACGCTGACACTTCGCATTTTTACCAAATGCATATATGTATCTTATCGATCGCATATTTCATTTGCGTTGATCATTATGAGCTAAGTATAGCATTTTGCCTGCTGCATGCAACGTTATGTTAATTTCGTAATTTTGTGCGTACGAAAAATCAGGGACAAGAACGAAGAAAGTAGATATACGTATATATATCATATAAATATCATCATTTTCATTTATATGATCATGCATGCTCTGTCGTTGCTAACACGATGAGCCCCTGCACACTATGTAGAATAAAATGTTCTTTGGGATACGTTATACAAGATAAAAAGCAACTTTAGTGTGATATACCACAAAACATCAATATATATTTTTCAACATCATTTTATTACCTGGGAAACTCTTGGATGGCATAAATATCACAACCTCCAATTGTGTGTTCTAAAATAAAATCAGCCGAGTCCTAACCAGTTCAAAGAACTTTGACTACTTGTTAGCAATTTCAAGTTTTTATAATAATATTTCAATCCCATAAACACATTATATTAATGATAATACAAAGAAGATATAGGAACAAATACCGTTCTTCAAATGTACCTACTTCACCTTATAAACATGTCAAACCAGCTTTTCAAATTGGTCACTCTTTATATGTTCTGGATAATCCAACACGCACTTTTTCAGATATAAAACTATATTAGTAAATGTCATTATTACATCTATATGCACTAAATATTATAGTGGTGTATGCTTGCACTAACTGAATACGTCTTTAAAGCATTCTAAATCTTTTACTTTTAACTGATTTCTTGTACAATCGAATTATAGCAGCCGGCTCTATATCGCAGACTCTTTTCCCTTACTGGTGTTTCACGTCTAGCTTTCGACTAGTCCGTTATTGGCATCAGAAATATATATCCATAATGTAATTTGTTCTAAACTGCTTTGAGCTTTCTTGTGCCAAATTATTGATCTCGAAATCGTTTTGATATATTCATCATTTCACCTATTTTTAATGCATTGCGACTGATTGATCTACTTTTGCATGTCAAAAACAATAATTTTATAAAACTTTAGATAAGCATTAGGCCCGAAACACATTTGGAATAGTATACATAGTTAAATTATATTTAGGACATCGAATATATCAATAAATCTACATCTCAATCAAGCGCACAGGCTTACTTGACTGAACATAATTTGACTTGTCTTGACTAACGTTTTAATCCTGTTTTAGTATAAAAGTGTGCCGATACAGATCTAATCGATATAATGGTAAATTTTTCAGAGTTTAGAATCAACATACCTACAGAGACAACAAGTTCGAAATTGCCAAAACATTACCATACTCTTATACGCAAATTTTGTCCGTTTTCTAAAGTTTTATAATACGCTTATTGTAAATCCACAGAAATATACCAAAGATATAAATTATATATATAACTATTTTTTTTTTGAATCAACATTTTTACATCAGACTACTTTTCACTCATTCATTTTTTTTAATATTGTAGATTTTCTTCTTTCTATAAGCAAGATAGTAAATAACTGAAAACCTAAATTTTCTTATTTTGTATTGTCGTGTTGAACCATGATAACTTTCATATTTCCAAAATTCCCGCTCATAATTCGTGATTGGAAATAGACTATATCTTTAAACAAATCTAGGTATTTGTATTTTCTAAACCATTTTCTAGATTGTCTACCATACTATCATAAAAATGCATTCAAATCGATGCCATTATAATCAATTTATTTCATCATAGTGAATAATAACTAAATACATTTTTAGACAGATTTTGATTGGGAATTTATATTCGGCGCATGTATGATTTGTGATTCATCACTGACACGATTTTCAATCAATATGCGTATTACTATAACATCTGGTTTTAGTATCAAAATTACTGATGCTTTTTACCTATGGCGCTCAAATCAGACATTGATTAATACAGTGTCCGATTAGAATTTTAACTGATCATATATAAAGTTTGAATGCCAAATGTGTAGCGCATGTTCCCAGTTACCAACCGACTAGGCAATACTAATGGCGGACATTTATGAAATGGCGCCTAGCAATAGTTGCATTTGTCAAATTTTTTTCTGCCGGATAATAAATCAAGATTTTGTGAGTTCAAATTCTGTATCCGCCTCGTATATCAATGGTGAAGTAATTCGATGATATAAAACAGCCAAGATTCTCATTTAATAAAATACTTAGACGTGCAATGTTCCTGCAATGCATACTTAGGTTGCTTTTGTTTATCTCTAGTTCCTGTTTATAGTTATTATAGCAGTGATATTATAATAGACAAGGTCCAGATCCTCACTTCATCTCTTCATGTAGACATACTCTAAAACGCCTCGGTGTCTTTTGCCCGATACTCAATTTTGCTATAAACAATTTCTCTCTTTACGTAATAACAATATTCCCCAAAAGACACTGTTCTGCATTTAAGGCAAATACCTCAATTTGTTTCTAATGAAAAGGATATTG